CCCAGCAAGGGCCTCAGTCGAGGCTGCCCCAAAAAGGGAAATTTCAGTGGCAAGACAGCATGAAGGGGCAGTGACAGCCCCTCTCTAGGATTCCAGGAGACTCAGAGCAGCAAGGCAGGTCACTCCCTTGACAGCCCCTGGCATGTGGCAGAGAAACAAGAGAACCTGTTTGTGCCCCAGCAGACCTGGAAGCAGGAGATAGCTAAAGGCCCCTGAGGCAATCGGCCACATCCCTGGGATTTGGGGCCATGTGTCCCCAGTTGGGGCTGACAGCTTCACCGCCACGAAGTAAGGAGCCCTTCCTGAATAGTTCTGTGTCCCTGCCTCCTGGCCACTTCCTTCCTGCTATTCCCTGGGCTACGGCTACACCATAGAACCGCTTCGTCTGCACAAGTAGCTGAGGCCCCTTGTAAATAAACCCCAAGTTCTACACACCCTGCAAGTTCCCTCCTACCCCACCTCTCCTTGTCCCAAACTCTTTCCGGGCCACTGACTCCTGAGGAAACGCACTTCAGTATGGGCATTCAGAACATGGGCGAATGTGTGATGCTTGCAAGCTGTGCTCCATTATTGACGCGGTGCTTGCGAGCCAGGCAGGCAGCTCAAGCTGGGCTGGGGCTCAACAGAGAAGCGATGATGCAGCAGCCCTGCGAGGCAGCCATCTGCCAGGCCTCCCTGGGCAGGGGCGGGCACAGGCAGGCAGTGTGGCGAGGGGGACTCAGGCTGTGGAAACTCGCTTCTGGGTCTGAATCCCCCTCCTGTTTCCTTCCCGATCAGCTGTATGATTGATCGGCAGCATGGTCCTCTCTGAACAGCAGACACCTCCTCTCTGCAGGGGGCTGCCCAGGATGTGTGAGGGTACAACAGGAAGCCCCGGGAAAAGCCTGGTGCCAGACGTGTGGACCCTGGCTGCTTGTGCGGATCCTGCCATGGATCTGGGGTGGCAATGAAAAGTGGGCCCTCCTTCCCCCCTCCCCTCCCTCTTGACTCAAGAGATACTAGTATCCCGTTTGGCTTCACAACTCTCCGAGGCTGGCCGCCACAATACCCAGACTTGCTGTCCCTGCCCCCTTGGGTGCCCAGGACAGTGCATTGAACCTAGTGAGCACCCAAGACAGGGCAGAAGCTGCTGTTCCTGTCCGTCACTGCCTGACGGGTCCAAGCAGATTCACGCAGTGCCTGGAACCTACTCGGGTGCCCCTGCCTAGTAAGAATATTACTATTATTTCTGTCAATTCTTGAGGCTGTGTGACAAAGGGTGTCCTTCTTAAACCTAGATGATCTTGGAATGGAGCAGCTGTGGCTCAGCCACAGGCCAGGAGCTTACTTGGGGCAGCCTTGACTGTGTACATCTGGAGATGGAGGGGCCTCAAAGCTTGGTTTGGTGCCCCACTGCTGCATCCTGTGGGTCTTTTCAGAGGGAGACTCCTGGTGAGGCATTGTAGCTGAAATATGGTTTCAAAATTCATGTGGTATAGACTTGGTCCCAGGATGTGTTAGTGGGAGGTGCTTTGGACTTTGAGATGAGATCTTATGGGAGGTCCTTAGATCACCAGGGACATTTCTTGGAAGGGGATTATGGGACCTGATCTTTCAATCTGCTTGCCTGCTTTTTACTTGAGTGACTTGCTTCTCCATCCACTCTCATCATAAAGTACCACCTTCACCAGGAGCCCAAAACAGTAGGGCCTCCAGCTTGAACTTGAACCTTCTGCAACTGTGATAAAGTAAACCTTTTCTCCTTACTTGTTAATTGCCTCTAGCGTTTCATTACAGTAACACAGAGCTGATTTCTGCAGGAGGCTTGGTGCAGCAATCCCTCAGGCTGTCATGCAAGCAAGTGCACAGATTCTTCTGGGATAAGGTGGCCAGGGCACGACAGCCCTGGGCTTGGTCTGGCGGGAGTGAGGGTGAGAGTGCACTGGCAGGGCAGAAGCTGCCTGCAGCTGGGTAGACCGGATACGCTGGAGTCGGGGAGGAATGTCTTCAGGCCTTGGTGACATCTTTGAGCAGGATAAACAAAATCCTTTCCCACAGTGATGGAACAACTGGCGAATGCCAGATCTTCTTGGTAGAGGCCCAACAGAGTGGCAACCAAAAGACCCTGCCTTTGCAGTTCATATGCTGGAGGGACAGTCTGACAGGCACCCGGCAAACAAACACCTCAGCAAGGTGGAGGCCCCACTCTTAGAACGGGCTGACGGGAAAAGAACGCACATCTCCTCAAGGTCCCCCTAGGACCTGGAGTGGAGCTGAGACTCTGCGGCCGGAAGGAGCTGGCAGTCAGGTACCAGTCCCTTAGCAGAGCATGCCAGGCCCAGCCAGAGCAGGCAGAGCCTCAAGGCCCAGCAGCAGTTGAAGCGAGACCTGGATCCAAAGAAAAACCCAAGTGGCTGGAAATCTGAGGGAAAGGCAGCGAAAGCTGAGGCTGGAGAGGAAACACAGAAGGTGTGAAGTCTTGGTAGTGGTGACAGGAGCTTGGCTCTTCGATAGAGCCTGGCGGAGGCCACATGGGAGCCAGGAAGGACCAGGTAGGACCACCTGTTAGAGTCGCCCCAGTTAGTACAGGAAGGTGACCTGTGGGATTTAGGAAAGTGGCTGCGCTTGAGACTGACCCGCCTGGCACTTACCCTGGGTGATGATGGCCAAAAAGAGACAAGCCAAGTAGAAGATGCTCAGATGGTAAAGTGCCTGGGTCTGTTGCTGGACCAGCTAGCGGGGAGGTGACCAAGGACCTGTTGGTATGTGCTCCAGTAGCTGGGTGGGTAGTGATGCCACTTACTGATAAAGGAGGACAAGTCTGCAGGAACATGAAGTTTGAAATGTCTGCTGGGTAGCCAGGCAGCGGCACCCACCTGGCAGGTGCTGTCTCATCTGGAGCTTAACAGAGAAGCTCACATGGGAGCCACTGGTGCCAGGCAGCACTGGTTATGGCCAGGGGACCCACTGAGAACACCAGGAGATAAGAACGGGAGACTCCCGAGTCTCGGAGAAGAGGGTGCAGATAGTGAGGTTGGAGGAAAGCCAGGCAAGAGGAGTGACTCTGGTGGAAGGGAAGAGTGCTTCCAGAAAATGCTGCCACTCCTGACCTGAGTGCCACCAGTGCTCCCCTTTCTTGTCCCTCTGTGCCCACCCCAGTCCACCCTCGTGAGCAGCTACCCGCCTTCCAGCCGCTGAGGGTCCAAGCTGAGCTGCACTGGCCTGGGGTCCCTGGAGAGTGCTGCCTGGCAGCAGCTCAGCTGTTGGTCTCTGTCATGGAGACGGCAGCAGCTGCAGGCGACGGGCATTTGTGACCATTTGTCAGAACGCGCCCCTTCTTCCCCAGCCTGCCCTTCTGGAACATTTCTGTCCCACGGCCTTGGAGACAGGGCTCATCTAGGGGCGGGAAGACCAGGAGGGGACAGGAAACACTGTCTGAGTTCTGCAGAATTTCCACTGCCCCCCTCCTGCAGGCTGGCTGTTGTTTCCACCATGGGAACTCTCGCCTCTGTGTGCCATGTACCCCAGTCCTCACAGCTGCCCGCTGAGTAGCTCTCCTCATTTAGACCAGGGCTGCCCCCACTTAGGCGATGAGAAACTGCAGTGCAGAGGCGCTGAGATCACACAGCTGCTGGTCCGGGTCATCAGGCCCTGACGCCTCTACCCACCCACCCAGTACTAGGACAGCACATGCAGCAGAGATGAAGTCACCGTGGCTCTCACACTGCCAATAGCCCATGTCCCCAGTGCCCCAGCCCGAGTGGGATTTCTCTCTCAGTCTCTTGCCTAGGCCTGCTGGTGCTGTCTGGGGCTAGGCTGGAGACAGCTGGCCCACTGTTAGAGCTCTGTGGTTTGGCCTCTCTATTACCAAATGTACTGGGATTTTTCCAGGGCTGGAGGTGGGGAATCTTCTCCAGCCTGGTTGCAGAGCCATAGCTGGTATACAGAGGGAAGCAGGAAAATGGTCCCTGATAGTGCTGAGGTCCGTGCAAGTTTGGAGAAGAGGACACTTCAGGCACACTGCCTCCAAGCGTGGCTCATGTCCTCCAGCATGGGAGAGTTTGTCTGGTCTGTGCTAATGCTTCCCTGGGACAAGTGATCAGCCTCAGACAAGGACCATGCAGGCCTACCTAACAGGAAGGCCAGTACTCCATGCCCACCTTCTCTCCTGTCCCATCCCAGCTGGGAAACCCTGGACCCAAGTGGCCTTGAGGTACTTTTCCTCTCAAAGCCAGGGCCCTGAGAGCCCATGGATCAGGCTTCTGTCCTCCAGACCTGCTTGTCACTGTGGATGTCACACTGCCCCTGGGACCCTGGAAAATCCACTTTTCTTCATCCCCTGGGTTCCTTCTTTCCACAAAGCCCAGTCCTTACCCCCAAGGCTGTCTGGATGCGCCAAGGAAGAGGTCAGAGAAGTCAGGCATGGGCTCACCTGGCCCTGCATCTGTCTGCACCACCTTCCTTGTCTGCACCACAGAGGTGAACCTCAGGGCACTCATCAGGCTGCCCTCAGCTCCTGACCGCTCTACATCCCCTGACACCTGCAAGCTCTGTGCTGGGGGTGCAAAAAGAACACCACAGACCCCTGGCCTCAGGGACCCCCTACAGGGAGGGGGGACAGTAACACCGTGACTTGCACGTTCAAAATTTTCTCAGATGAAGATGAGCTCTGCCAAGAACATGCAGGGGCACACGAGGGTGTTGGCTGGGGAAAAGGGTGATGCATATGGGTGTTCAGGAGGGTAGCTTGGGGGCCCTTGACATCCAAGGTGGCCAGAGGCCCAAATGCTTCTCTGAGGGTTGCACATAAATGTAGCCTAGAGCTATGTAGCAGTAGGGTTCTGGGCCAGGTGGACTATGTGGGGAGACACAAGGCCAGGCCAACTGTGAGCAGATCCCTGACCCTCCCAACCTACCACCATACAGATGTCAACAGCACAAAGCCTGGGGGAGGCTTCCCAAGTCAAGGCCAAGAGGCCTCCAGAGTGGCCTGAGCGTAACCTTCACTGTGTGCCTTCCAGGCAGCTGTGTCTCCTGCTGAATGCAGAGAACATCTTTCACTCAATGGCTGACATCCTGCTCCGGGAGGAGGACCTCAAGTTCGCCTCCACCATGGTGCACACCCTCAACACCATCCTGCTCACCTCCACTGAACTCTTCCAGCTGAGAAACCAGCTCAAGGACCTGAAGACTCTGGTACTCATGTCCCTGGGCTCTGACCCCAGGCCTAGGCCTGCCTGCAGCCAGGCACCTGGCTCACCCTTCAGCTGTCCCAAGAGGCTTGTGGGAGGAGACAGGGATAACATCATCCAGCTCCCTGGTCCAGGGTAAAATATAGAGCCCTGGATTGAATGGCCGTGTACAAGCGCCAACCATAGAGTGAGTCACCCACTTCTTGGTGAGGGCTCTGCCCACAGAAGGCTCCTGCCCTGCCCACCCCACCCACCCTCTCCACACATTGACTCCCAGCCTCTCCACACTGGCCTGTCCAGACCCTGGCAGAGTCAGGTCTCTGGAGCATCATCCTGCCCCTCTGCCACAGCTAGACACACCTGTCCCCTAAAACACTCCCAGGGTGTCACACTGCTGCCTGTGAGGATCCCCAAAGCCTGATTAGAGAGAAAAGGGAGACACACAGCTCATAAGCAACATATTAGGCTAGCTGCAGAGGCCTCCAGAACTCAGGCCATCCTAGATGCTGGAGTTCTGGGGGTTTCTTCCCCAGACCAGGCATCTGTCACCTTGCGTCTGTCCCTCCCAGGTCAAAACCTCCAGACCCTGTATCCACACCCCTACCCCAGATATTCAAGGACTCCCAAGACCATGTCTGAGGGCATGTGGGGACAAGTGGCTCAAAACGATCCAGGCCACAGCCCTTCCTTCCTCCTGTGGTTCCATCCAGACATTCGCAGAGGCCTTAAGAATTTTCCTCAGTGGCAGGGGCTCCCCAAGAATGGGCTCGGCTGCCAGGCTGGTTTCCGAGCATCCCGAGTGGACCAGCTGGGCTGCCCAGGGAGCAGGAGGAGAGGTCCGGAGAGCCCAGCCCATGGAAGCTTCCTCCCTGTCCACACCCCCTCTCCCTTCCAGCCCCCCAGGCTCTGGGACGGAGTTCTGGAGAGGACAATTCCTGATATTTTCACAGGCAGAAATGCCAGCACAAAGGGCAGGCTCACTCCCCACCAGGCCCTCACCACTGCCACCACCACACTGCTCTGTGGGGCTGGGAGGTAATGACAGGGTCTGAGGAGCTGTCAGCATTTCCTTTGTGACAGCTCGTTCCCAGCTGGGCTGCCAGACACAACCAGGGTGCTGAGCTGGCGCCCTGGCTGCTCCCAAGGGCCCCCTGGTTCTCAGCCCCTCTGGTCCTTTAACTCGAGGACCCCACAGTGGGGAGGGGCAGGCCCCTAACTGGGCACCTCTTCCCCCAGGAGAGCCAGAACCTGTTCTGCTGCCTCTACCGCTCCTGGTGCCACAACCCAGTCACCACAGTGTCCCTCTGTTTCCTCACCCAGAACTACCGCCATGCCTATGACCTCATCCAGAAGTTGTATCCTTCCTCTTGCTGCTTTTCCACCTCCCACTGACGGGCAGGAGGGTGCCTCCTGCCATCTTTCTGCCCCTGTCCGTCTGCTCAGCCTCCAGGGTTTGTCACACGAGAGCCATCCAGCCAGAGGCACTGTGAAAGATACATTTGGGATAGCGCTGTTGGCAGCAGACAGGGCCCATCTCAGAGCTTACTGGTGGGGAGCTAGGCCTGGAAAAGCCTCGGGACCCTGCAGGGTTCAAGTGGGCTCAGTTCAGCAGGTGCTGACAGGTGACACCAGCCCCCTGCCCCGGGGAAGAGGCAGCTGCTTCTCTGTGGCGCCCGGGGCCACATCTGTTCCAGGCCCAGAAGGTACCGGTGAGTGCGAGTGGGGCCGGCAGGTCAAGCTGGACCTTCAGAGATATCAACCAGAGTCTGGCCAGCTCTGTAGAAGACACAGCAAGAAGCAGGTGTGACTCGAGGCAGGAGCAGTCACACACACACACACACACACACACAGCCCTCGGCTCCTGCCTCACCAAAAGGCAACCACAGTCAGATTGTTTTTTAAGCCCTGGAAAGCAAACCAGCCTTCTGTGTAAAGTCTGACAGGGGCCACTGTCCAGGTTGAAGCACTATTTCAGGAGGCAGAAGTGGCCCATACCCTCACAGGCCAGGAATAGGAGCTATGGGCATCTGGGGACATCGAGGACCACGTGGTGCGGTACCCTGGGGGAGGGCCAGGTGTGGCCTTGCCTGGCTCCCCTCATCGTACCTGTTCTCCTTCTACAACCTGAATCTGTTCTTTGTGGCCACTTCTGTGACCCAGAGATCTGAAGGCTGCCACCCAGTGCCACACGTGTGCCGCAGCCCTGGCGGTGCTGAATGTGAGCCCGCCCAGACCGAGCCTCCCTGCCAGGCTGCAGGGACCTGATAAGAGCCATTGCAGGCTCCGAAGGGCGCAAAGGACAGAGCTGCCAGAGCGGAACCTGAGCACCCACACTGGACAGACAGCTATGCCCTGTTCCGTTCAGAGGGACAGAAAGGTAAAGAGAATGACATCGGCCTTTTGTAGGCTAGAATCTGCTTGAGGAGACGTAGGCTCTGTGAGGAAACTGGGACAGGTGGAAGGGGTGCATGGTGTGCTGCTGTGCTGCGAGGTGGAGCCCCGGGGTCCGACTTCGGCCACCTCTCAGCAAGGTGTAGCCAGCAGGCCTGGCTGTCCAGCTGCCTGTCACGAGCAGGCTATGGCGGCCCAGTAGGGAGACTTTCCTTGACTCTCTACCCAGCGGGGACCTGGAGGTCACTGTGGATTTCCTCACGGAGGTGGACAAACTGGTGCAGCTGATCGAGTGCCCCATCTTTACATGTAAGACCTGGGGAGGGGAGGGCTGTGTCTGGAACTGCCCCAGCCCCAGCGTGCGCCCTGGCTGGCCTGGAGTGAGGTGGGGTGGAGCCACATCCAGCACTGCCCCAGCTGGAAACAGAGGGAGGGCAGTCAGGCCAAGGATGCTTCTGGAATATTAAGAATGGAAGACAATGTTGACAGGGCCAAGAGGCCAGTGGAGGGGGTGTGGCCCAGGGCATTGGAACTTGGTCCTGTCTGTGCTCTCAAGGTGGGTCTCATGGTGACAGGCCAGAGCTAATATAAAACTCACCAGCAGTTACTCTCAGGCCCTGCCCAGTGCCCCCAGCCGCCTCTGCCCATCATGCTGTCCCTTGCCCTGGCTCTCTGCAGTCATGGGCACCCAGAAGCTACTCCTGTTTGCCCAGGAGCTGTGCCCTCTCTTCAGAAAGAAGAGATGCCACGTGCCAGAGCTGATGAGTAACACCCAGGCTGAACGTGCAAAAAAAGTGGCAGCTGGCTGGGTGAGCGTTCTTGGCACCTCAACACATAACAGCGCATGCTCCCCAAAGCCGGCAGGCGGCACTCAGAACGACACGCATGTGTTTACGGAGTGGTAGAGAAGCAGGAGGCCGCCCTGCCAGTGGCCACCTTCCCTGCCAACCCAGTCACCCAGGCCTTCAGCTCTCTGGCAGATCTCTGGCCCACTCAGCCTGAGCCACAAGGCTGCTTTCTCTCTGGAGCCCAAAAGCAAATGCAGGGACTTAGATACCCCGTCTTCCCAACTCCCATTCAATGGGGGAGCTTCTCGGAGCGGTGGTCCACAGTGACTCACACCTTGGAGACAGAAGGGCAGAAGGAAGACCCTGGTCTAAGCAGAGTACACTGCAGCCTGTCCCACTGACCTAGGAGCACCATGTGCATCTGCTCCTAGGGCCTTTCTAGCAAGGACAGTGACAGCAGAAATGCGCCCCAGTCTACACAGCATCCTTCCCAGCTGAGATGCTCAGATCCCAGGCATGGTGGCCAGCTCAGTCATGGGGCGGTCTTAGCTTCCCAAGGCCCAAAAGAAGGAAAGACTCAAAACAGCCCCCTGCTTCTCTAGTGCCATGTCAGCTGTCACCATGGGCATGGGGATTTCTCCCCACAGCAAGCTAGCAGTCTGCAGACACTTGTTAGGTGGCTTCTAATTTGATTCATTTTTGACACTGTCTACCCAGAGATAGTGGCAGATCCCATCCACTAGGGATCAGTCCCCAAAACTGCTCCCCTTTGCTTCAGATACCAGTCACAAGCCCCAGGTCATCTTACCTGTGCTTCTGACCAATCACAGTTTTCACAGCAGCCCTGCTGGGCTCATTTAAGTGCTAGGGCCCCTCACAGAACTCAGAAACAGCTGCTTACAAAAGATACACAAAGGACATGGACGCTGAGGCACATGGGTGCATGGGAAGGGTTGTGCCACCCTCTGGGAACACCTGAAAGTTCTGCTGTCTACACATTGTCAATTGTGTAGCCCAAATTCCCAATCCTGCCTCAGCCTCCCGAGTGCTGGGATTGTAAACACCCCTGGCTGCCCTTGGATTTTGATGCAGTCTTCACTACTTAGGCTTTGTCCTTTCCTTTCCTTTCCTTTCCTTTCCTTTCCTTTCTTTTCCTTTCCATCTCTTCCCCTCCCTCCCTTTCCTCTCCTTTGCTCTCCTTTCCTCTCCTTTCCTTTCTTTTCCTTTCCTTTCCTTTTCTGGATACCAGGAATCAAACTCAGGACCTTGCACTTGCCATGCAGGTGCTGTGCCTCTGAGCTATATCCCTCGCCTAGGCATTCTTGTTTTCTTCTCTTTGTTTGTTTTTATTTCCTGTTACTGGAGATTGAACCCAGAGCCTCTCACTGAGCTACATCCCCAGCCACTTTTAATTTTTATTGAGATGAGATATCCCTAAATTACCTAAGCTGGGTTCAAACTTGAATCCTCCTGTGTCAGCCTCTGGAGTATCAGGAATTACAGACATGCACCACAAGCCCGACTTTTTAGGCTTTCTTGGTTAAATCATTGGCCATTGATCAGATACCCAATCTTCTTCCCTCAGCCCCCTGGAGGTAGTGAGAGGGGCTGAAAGTCCCAGCCCTCTAATCCTGGCTGTCATTCTACTGATCTGCCCCTTTGCCAAAGCTACTAAAAGCTGACACCCCTCAGTCAACTCATTAGCATACAAAAGACTTCTTTTGGGGATTCCAAAGATCTTTTGAGTTGACCAGGAAACAATAATAAGTACCGAATACATAGTTCATGGTGGCCAGGCTTGGGGAACACCCACCTCCTGGAGCAAGAGGAGGGGTCATAAGGCATCCCTAGTCTGGAAAGGGGCCTTGTCTCATGCACACTGGCTCACCCTCACTTTGACCCCAGCATCCTCCAGGACCCTGTCTGCAGCCTTTGCTGGAGAGGCTTTGCTCCCTCCAGAAGACGGGCTTATCCTTCACAAAGGATGCCCATGACAGCCGAGAGGCTGGAGGGAGAAGCCAGTGGTTTGCAGAGGTGCAGAGCAGAACGGTGAGAACCTGTCTCCAGTCCAGGCCCCTGGAGGCTTGGGGAAACTGCCTTGGGACACAGCTGGCCACCAGTGGGATCCAGGCACCCTGGGTGGGGATGGACACTGGGCAGACACCAGGGATACGTTTCCAGCCTTCTGCCTCAAGGTGGAGTCCAAAAGCACCTGACAGACACTGGGGTTTTTGTTTGTGCCTCGCTACACACAAAAGCATTTTCCCTTCCTGCCCTCCCTCAAAGCCATCCTAATCCACTGTCTTTCTCTCCGCTCGCCCTATTTATAGCTCTCATGCTGGCACGCGCAGAGCCAACTGGGGAATCTGTTACTCCACAAGCCCCCACCCCTGATTACCAGGGAGGCAGCTGAGTGTGGGGGAGGTGGGCCTGGCCTTCCAGCAGGTTGGGGGTCATCAGGCTGAGGCAACTGCTGGAAGGATCAGACAGGCAAGTGGGGAGAGGTTCTGGAAAGGGCCAAGGCCCTCCTGAAGGAGGCAGCTGGCCTGGTTGGCTTCGCCCAGGCTGGATCCTGGACTGTGTACCTGTGTACAGGTAACACAGTGCTGGGGCCCAGGTGGCTCTGGTCCCCTCCCAGTCAGGCTGAGGGGTCCTGGTACAGAGTCTGGGCTGGAAAAGTGTGCGAATCCCTGACCCCTGGCCTTTGCCCTGTGCCCTGCTGCAGATCTGCGCCTGCAGCTTCTGGACGTGAAGAACAACCCCTACCTGATCAAGGCGCTGTACGGCCTGCTCATGCTGCTGCCCCAGAGCAGTGCCTTTCAGCTGCTCTCACACCGGCTCCAGTGTGTGCCCAACCCTGAGCTGCTGCAGACTGAGTGAGTGCCCCTGGGCCACCCGGGGAGGGAGGCAGGCAGCTTGCCCAGGTCTCCCGTTTGTTCCTGCAGCCCCGACCACCACTACCCCCATCACCACCTGCCCTTTGGCCTCGTGACACAGCAGTTCTAAGAGTACTCAAAACTGGACTGAACAGCAGGGCCTTCTCCAGCCATCAAGGAGCTCAGTATGACCAGGACTCTGTGGAATTCACACAAGTTAGCATCACCCAGCAGAGGCCCCTGCACAGGAGCTGCAGCGTGGGGCAATGAGATACAGACCCAGGTGACAGACCAGAGAGCAAAACATGGCCCAGGCCCAGTCCCCAGAGAGACCCGTGTCATGGAAACACTTGCAGCACCATCCCCAGTGGGGTCAGAGGCTGGGATATACCCACTGGGTTTCTGTCCACGGGAAAAGCAGATATCCATGAGGCCCAGCATGGCATCCTTTGGGCAGGGGGGGGTCCAAGCTCCCACCCTGAACCTACTGCTGGCCCCAGCCCCAGCGCCTGTTGGGCCGTGTCTATATTTGGTAACCCTTGGAGGCTTTGCCTCATCCGCAGGCATTTGGCATCCGAGATGGAAAATTTCACTTGTCAGGTCGCCATGGAAACCAGCGGAGCACTGAGAAGATTTACTCTGAATGGAGCGCACCCAGCTTGCATCAGATGCCCTGTGTGTCTAGAATTCCCGCCTAGGCTGTTGGGGCCACGCAGCAGGCCTGGCACCCGGCTCCATCGAAGGGCCCCAGCACTTGCCCTTGCAGTGGACTCGAGCCACCTCGGGTGGGCCTGTTCACCATTCAAGTCTCTGGACCACCGGGCTCAGGCACTTACCAGCCCCTCTCCATGGGCAGGGCAGCACCCAACAGGCTGCCCAGGATGAAGCTGGGCCCTTCTTCCCCTTCCCTTTCCCCAGCCAACAGCACTCCGGCTGGCAGGACTAGGCCTTTGCCACCTGCATCTCCTCTGCTCTGGTGCCACCCAGGTGATCCCAGGAGACAGCACACTGAGCATCCAGAGGAGCAGGGAGGCAGCCAAGGACTGGGTTTACATTTGAGCCCTCCATCTGGAGACCCTGTAGAAAGGCCCTGCAGCCACACTGGCCTCACCAGCCTGACACAGGCAGTGGCCCTGTTGCCGCCCAGTAGATGTCAGGAGCCCTGGCAGGCACTGAGGAGAGAGAAGGCGATGGGGCAGGCAGCTTCCCCACAGGTTCCGGGGGGCTTCCGACCTCTGCACACTGCGTCTGGGCCTGGGAGTGGCAGGAAGGCTCAGACTAGCCAAACCCCCCTAAACCAGAGTAGGACACCTCTTTGGGGAAGCTGAGAAAATGAAGGTTTCCTCAGCCTCTCCCCTGGTGGAGTCCAGGAAGGCTTAGGCTTAAGGTAGAGAATTTTGGGAGCCCACGAGTGGTTCCTAGACCCAGACTAGGAGCTGATTCAGGCTCTACCGTAGATGGGCTTTGTGGCCTCAGGCAAACCCCAGGTGTCTCTGGGCTCCTGGTTTCTTCATCAGTGAAAGGCACATTGGGCGTCCACGGCATGGGGGTTCTTCCCAGCTGCACGTTCCCAGCCTCCTCTCATAAGGGCCTGGGAAGAGACGGCCCTCAATACAGAAACAGGGGCCATGGGCCAGCAAGTGGCCTCAGGGACAGTTGGGGAGGGGGCGGCTTGCAGGGCTGGGTGTGGAGGGACAGCTTCCCCTCTGGGAAGGAGGGAGGCTGAGGACATCCCAGCCCAGGCAGGGCAGGCAGCTGGCAGGCAGCATGGCGAAGCCTGACAGGCCGCACACTGGGAACAGCTGGGGGAGCTGCACCAAGGCCCCGTGAGCTGTGGCTCCTCATGCTGCCACACTGCTCCCACAAACCGTCTCCTCAGTGAGGCAAGAGGGCATGGAGGGGTGGCAAGAGAGAGGGCCAACTCTGGCCACTAGCACCCCAGTGCTGCACTGCAGGCCAGGCATCCCTGTCACCCACAGCTGGGTGCAGTGGAAACAGAACATGAGGAGCTGAGCAATGGCCATGCCTCTGCTGTGGCAGGGAGAGGCACTGTGACCGCCACACTCCCAAGGCAGCTGCATCTTCCCCTCCCACAGGGTCACCCCTCTCCCCTCCATAGAACCTCAGCCAGGAAGTCTGCCTTTCATGGGGCAGGACTGAGTGTGTATGTGGTGCTGGGGTTGAACCCAAGACCTTCACACTGAGCTACAGTCTCAGCCCTTTTTTATTCTTTATTTTGAGGGTCTCACTAAATCACTGAATTGCCCAAGTTGGCCTCAAACTTGTAATTTTCTTGCCTCAGTTCCAGAGTTCAGGGATTACAGGTGTGAACTACTACACCTGGCTTGGAGCAGGATTTTTGCCCACCTGCGGTCCCAGAGAAAGGGTGCAGCCCACTCCTCCCCACCTCTGCCCTGTCTCATTCCACCCTCAGTTTGCCAGGATTGAGGTCGGGGGCAGCCTGCAACCCCATCCTGGGGCCTCACGGCCTGGCCTGGCCTAGCCTGAGTGGATTAAGTAGCAGCCGGCCATGCCTCAAGGTTAGGGCTCCAAGCTCCGGTGTCCGTCGGCCACAGGTCTACTATGCTACAGAAGTTCCTCCCCGTTCCCAGGGGAGGTGGCAGCAACAGTGGGAGCCCAGGGAACCACCCAGCAGATCCCCATCTTTGCTGAACCAGCCATGACCAGGCCTGGCTCAGAAACACAGCAACCACTGTCCAGGCTGTTTTCAGAAAGTCAGTCAAGAGGAACCAATCAGGCCGGGGCATCTCAAGAGGAACTGATCTGGCCAGGGCATCTTGAGAGGCCAGGGGAGCAGCCCTGCCCTGGTCCTGTCCACAGCCTGGTGTGGGCCTCAGGAGACACCTTCTAGGCTGTGATCTTGGCTTTCTGTTGAGTATGCATTGTGGGGGCTGCGTTGTTTTCCTCCCAGTGAAGTCTCTTTGTGAATTCAGAGCCCGAGAACTCTGCTTAGCTGAACAGCCTGCCATCTGCACGAGACCCCTGGTCAGGGCCATCAGACTGGAAGCAGATACTTCCCATCCATACAGATCTACTTTGCCAAGGCCAGAGGAAACACAACACTTCATGAGGCTCTGCTGGAGGGATGGTTAGCAATGGAACAGAGTCCCAAGGAGCTCTAGTCCCCCAGGGCAGGACAAGCACTGGCCCTGAGGCAGCATAACTACTTACTGCACTATGCAACTGTAGAGATTGTCATGTACACTGTCACTATGCAGTGCACAGCCTGTGCTGCTGTACAGAACACCTGGGGAGGGTGGTAGCAACAGAAATATAGGAGCCATTGGTATAGGCAGGGGTAAGACGAGCTTTCCTTCCTCAGGAACAAGGAATGACTGTAGGCCCCAGGACCCCAACACTCGAAAACAAATGCCCTGCCAAGATGAGGGCCCAGTGTCCCTAGCCCTGGGACTGCCTCAGAGAAAAAGCCAGGCTGCAGCTCCTTTTCCCTAGACCCTGTTCCAGTCCCCAGCTGGCTTCCTGGCTGGCTGCTGGCCCTGGCATTCACCCCAAAGGGAGCCACTGGTAAACAGGAAATGCTTCCCCATCTGATGCCTGCTCTGGGCGCCATTGCCAACCCACAGACAGTGATTCCCAAGCAGCAGTGCCGGCCAGTCCCACTGGCTGCAGAAGACGGTGCACATGGGACTCTGGGCTTATTAGGACTGGCTGCAGGGGAGGGGTTCCCAGGCATGGCTGACAGATCCCCTGGGGCTGGGCCCCCCCAGTGGCCCCATGCACACAGACACTGACAGCTCTCTGCTTGTCTCCACAGAGACAGTCTGAAGGCTGCCCCCAAGTCCCAGAAAGGAGACTCTGCCAACATTGACTACACAGAGCTGCTGCAGCACTTTGAGAAGGTCCAGAACCAGCACCTGGAAGTGCGGCACCAGCGGAGTGGGCGTGGGGACCACCTGGACAGGAGGGTTGTCCTCTGACATGCTGCCCAGCACAGCATGGTGAAGGGCCTACTGAGGGGCCCAGGAAGCACTCAGGGGCTTCAGGCTGTCCCCAGGAACGTGAGGATCCCCCAGCACTATCAGGTGCACCCGGGCTTCAGACAGCTGGTTTCCCACCAAGGTGGGGCCCAGCCTCTGCAGTCTCTCTGTCATGCCCCTCTGTGAATTGAGCTGAGCTCCTGCACCTGGCCTTGTGCGGCACTGTGTGTACACATGTGACATGGGCACGTACATGGGCGTGTGTGTATATAACCGTATGCACATGGGACCAGTGTGGAGATCTCTAGTGAGTAAATGCTCATCCCTCTCCCCGCCCCAATAAAGAAATGACTCAAACGCTAACCCGAACCTGCCTGCTTCTTCCCAGTGTGGCTAGATGCTGCCACTGACCCCAGGCCTCCTCTGTTTAGGAGGCCTGGTTTCACACTGGCTGTACCACCAAGGCCTGGACCCTGCCATCCACCACTCTGACCTGCTTCTTCCCCCGGGCCTACACTGGCACCCTGAACCCTGCCTTCCTCCGGCCCCAAATCTGACTTCCATCCTGATTCCTCAGGATTACTGGGATATGTCCCCATTGTGCAGGTGGGAGGTGAGCCTTGGGATTTTCTGGGTGGAAAGGAACAGTATACTATAGAGCACTTTGCATGCAGGTTGCCGGGCAACAGGGAGAAAGGCCAGTCCAGGAACAGAGTGAGGGTCAGGGGCCCCAGCCCTCAGTTTGGCTGCAGGAGCCTCATCCTCCTGCACTTGGGGGGGGGGGGCACTTGTCCTCAGGCTTTGGGAAGCCCTGGCTTGGCCTGGTGAGCCCCAAGTGATTCCAGCAGCCCCTGGAGAAGTGAGTGCCTTCCCTAGAGCCCAGCAACGGCAGCCCCATGAGTGGGTTTTACCTGCCTGGAGTCTCCAGGACGACGGACTGTACTTTCTGTCGCCCACGTGCCCATGCGTACGTCCCCACGCTCTGCCCAGGCGTCAGGGATTGCTCCGCTGGTGGGCACGGACCCCCATTCACTGAGAAGGTTGTCCCTGGGCCAGGAGACCACTATTCCCCAAAAGCCTGGCATCCAGCTTGCCATCCGGGTGACATTGCCCCTCAGAAAAGAAACCGAAGTTATGGAGGAGAGTGCGAAGGTACCCTCTGCCCAAGGCCCTAATCTGCCGCCACCGTGCGCGGCTTCGAACCCACAGAAGGCCCCCAAACCAAGAGCCAACCCTAGAAGGTGTCTCTGAGCGCCCGGACCCCACCGCTACTCTACTCCGGGGGGGGGCGGCGGCCCCGCCCCAGCGCCACCCCGACCAGCGGTGGTGCCTGCGCCCGGCGGCCCCGCTCGCCCGACCAGTCTGGCAGCGGCCGGACTCGGATTTCAAAGCCCTGGTTCCTGGCCGTGAATGGGCCTGCGCCCGCCCGGCCTTTCCCACAGCCCCCGCCCCCCCCCGCCCACGTGACGCCCGAGCTCGGCGGCTCCGATTACCGCCGCCGCCGCAGCTCAGAGCCCGCGCCCAGGCTGCGCCGCCCGCCCGCGCCGCGCCCCCGGCCCCGCCGCGCCATGGCCCGCGCCGCCCGCCCGCGGCCCGCGACCCCGCAGCGCCGCACGGCCGGACGCTGAGCGCGGCTGCAGGCGGAGGCCCCGCGGCCCGAGCGAGCGCCCGCGGCCCGGCCCGGCCCCTCCCCTACGCTGCCCTACGCCCCCCGCGCCCCTGCGCGCCCTGCGCCGCGGCCCGCTCGGCCCGAGCATGGAGACGGCGGAGAAGGAGTGCGGCGCCCTGGGCGGGCTCTTCCAGGCCATCGTCAACGACATGAAGGTAACCGGGGCGCCGCGGGGCCGGTGGCACGGGCGCGGGGACAGCTCGGGTGCCCTCCTGGGACGCGTGGCGGCGAGTGGCCATGCCCTGAGGTCCGCGCGTCCTTGTCTCAGTGCGCCCTGCCCGCGTACCCTTTGCGCCCAGGTCTTTGCGTGCTTGCCTGGGGGGGTGTGGGTGCTCGTGGATTGGGGTGTCAGTGCGGTGCCCAGGGTCGCTCTGCGCGGGGCCGCTCCGAGCCTGCGCACACTCGGACTCTCTGCTTCCCAGACCCCCAAACCATGAATGGGATTTGGCTCCTCGGCCGCGTCTCCATGGCCCTTGAAGGAGCCTGGGGTCCGTCCGACCTCCGCCCCCTTCCACTACAATACCCCCCAACCTCTGATAACCCAGAAGCCCAGACAATGCTGTCACCACCGAAGCAGGAAAAAAATAATAAGGCAAAGACCATTAACCCCTTCCCTGCCGGCCTCAGCCCCGACCCTGCGACAGCTGCCCAGCCCCGCCTCCGCCCCCCCACCCCCCGCAGCCACCCCAGTGAGCTCAGCTCGCAGATTCCAAGGTCTCCTGGCTGGATGCCCCTGCACCCCAAGGATGGGCCTTATCGTCACCTTGGGATGGAGGCAGCAAGAAGGTTGGGGTTGGAGGAGCAACCCCGTGGGTGAGCTTTTCTTACCCCCAGTCACCCGGGCTCTCAGCACCAAGCCTCCCTCCCTTATGGTGATTACCCAAGGTCAGGTAGAAACAGGCCACCAATTTCTGCTCACCCTGCCAGATGGGGAAACTGAGGTCTATGAATGGCTCAAGGTCGTTAAGGAGAATGTTGGTCCCTGCCCTAACTTCAGCTCTCATTGTTCCTCTGAGTGTGTTGGGTGAGGGGAATGCTCCTCCGAAAGAGACCAGGGTTCCGCAGGACTGCCCCAGAGAGGGCCGAGGGCCCAGCTCGTGACAGGGTGGGGGCAGGAGCTCGGGTTCCTACCCTTCTTCTCCGGCCCCTTCTTTGTAGAGAAGATGGGGCAGGATCACAGGCTGGGGAAAGATCTGGTTCCCACAGGAACCCAAGGGCCCCTACACTGGCTGAGTGCACAGCACAGTCCAGCAGGCCTGGGCAGGGAGGGGAGACACCACTCTTTCCAGTTCGACCCACCGAGAGTTCCAGACGGCCGCTTTGGGAGGTGGACGCTGCAGACAGACAAGAGCTTGGGGTTCCCTCCCAGTACTACTAGGATGCGGGCAGCCCCGGGAGCAGCTGTCAGGTCCCCGTCCCTGAGAAAAATCCTGAAGCCACCCTGACTAGGACTGCCCAGTGAGCAGGTGTCCCCACCCCGGGGTACACCGCCCTGGGGATCTCTGTGCCCGGCATCTCCACCTGCAAGCCCCCCCCTTCTGCCCGCCCCGTGGCCATCACAGCCCTGGCACCAGGGTTCCTTTCTGGCACTGGCAGCACAGACCACCTCCTCGCCTGGCCATTGCTGGGCTGGCTGAGGGTGGGAGCTGCCCACACCTCCTCCCGCTGGCAGCTGCACAGCATACACTGCAGCAGCAGCCGCGTCTGCCCCGAGGAGAGGAGCTGTGCTGTCCCCTCACTCCCTGCCAACTGCAGGGAACCTGAGGGGGAGGCCAGGAGGGCCCAGGATAATCGATCAGATCAGAGTGGGATGCCCTGGCCAGGCGCTGAGCAGGATTTGCAATTGGAGGCAGCTAGGAGCAGTTCAGGTGTGAGGATACCACAGACAGATTCACCCCTACTGATGACACATGCATGTATGTGTTCAGGGGCAGAGCAGAAGGCTGGGCCACCTGGAGGCTGGTTGGCTGGAGTTAGGAGCAGCTTCCTGCTGCCTCTCGCCGGCCACTGGCTGGCCAGCCAGGTCATAAGACAGCATGTCCACAGGAGCCACCAGGCCCCACAACAGCTGTCGTGGGCCCCAGCCCTGGGCTGAGGATGGCAGAGGAGGAGGGTGGCTCCCTAGTTATACCTGGAGCCTGGACAGCTGGAGGAGACCAGGAGTTCAGGGTCACCAGCTACTCCACCAGAGAGGGCAGGCACTTGCCATCCTGATAGACATGGTCACAACAGCCTAGCCGTGTGCCGGTACATTCAGACAATGGGGTCATAATCTTTGCCTCCCCCTCCAGAGCAACAGTGTCACCCAGGTGGGAGGACACCTCTCAGAGGTGGGGCCTGTGGCTCTCAGCCACACTTGCCAGCTGCTAGGCGCCGTGCAAGGTGTTTTCCCTGCCCTGAGTGCCCCCTGGAGTCCACGTCTGATCCCAAGCTGTAGGGGCAATCCTCCTGACTGTACAGGTGAGGAAACTCAGGCCCAGTCACCTGGAAAGCCCTCACTAGCCAGGGTGGAGCCTGGGTTGCTCCTCAGAACACATCTGGGCCACCCTATCAGTCCCATCTGTCCACTTGAGGACCTTGCCTCCTTGCACCCTGGAAATGGGATGCCTCTAACCCCCCCCCAGACAGGGATTCAGACCCTGAATCCACTATCCTATAGCCACAGCAAGTCGGTTAACATCAGCAAGACCCCATTTCCTCACCCGTGAAAGGGGGTCAGTGCCAGAATGCATCACACAGGCAGTCGTGACCATGCTGTGTGACCAATCATTCACTGCAAGGCACAGAGTCTGGTTCGAGGGCACCTGCTCACCTAGACAGCCAGGTCCTGCACACCCTCCTTGGGTCACTGTTCACTCCAGCCCTTTCTCCTCCCTTTCTTGGATGCTGTATGATCTTTGGGGATAAAGAAGGGAGAATGACTGGGCCTGGCCTCCCCTCGGGCCCTGTTCCCCTCCCCTGGGACAGCTCTTTCTCTCTCTCTCTCTCTCTCTCTCTCTCTCTCTCTCTCTCTCTTTCTCTCTCTCTCTCTCTGAAGCTACATTGGGGCTACCCAGGGTGCTGGGGGACTGCCCTGGAGCCAAGGGAGTATCCTGTCCCTGCACTGGAAGGAACATTTCCTCAGCGCTCAAGGGGGAGGTCTTAGCAGCGTCCAGGCTGGGTGGGGCCTCCCCCGTTTCAGAAGACCCTGCTGGCCAAAACCCAGGTCAGCTCCCCAGGACCGAGAGGAACGTCCTCCCAGGCCATCTACCCTGTGCCTGTGTGGGGACAGCCCACCAGAGCCACCTCCTCTTGTTCTAGCCTCGATACACTTCTCAAATATTTGCTTTCCCTGGACACTGGCTGGCCAGGCTGGGAGGGGAGGGTGTTTGTGAGGTTCCTGATGCTGCCTGAGTCCTTTCTGCTCCCTACCCCATGGACTGAGCTCCAACCCACCCTGGGGCTGCGGCCAAGCAGAGCCTCCCCCAGGCCTTGGGGCCTGGAGTCCCTGCCTCCCGCTCTGCTGGGAAAAGCTCCACCACCACCCCCATCCTCCAAGCAGGGGAAGGACCCCTTGCTCCCAGGGCTGCCCTTCAAATGCAAGGCCTCCCAGTGCCTTCAGCCCGGGCTGAGCTTCCTCCATACCCCATGTCAGTGGGAAGAGCGTGTTAGCCAGAAAAGCCCTTTAATCAGACTGGACAACTCAGTCGCCAGGAGCCCGACCTCCCTATTGGGAAACCCCCTCCCAGTGAGGAGCCCTGGGCCAGGCTAGGATAAAAGCCACACTGTTTCCCCCGAGGGGAGGGGAGTGGGGGGTGGAGAAAGGTGGCTCTGTTGCCCACACAAGGCCCCATTCAGCCGCAGGGCCTGGTTGTCCCGGTCAGGCTGGCCAGGCCTTGCAGCAGCCTCGGCCTCCCCAGGCTTGGGAGCCACTGCCGCTGGCCTGGGACAGTTGCCGGCCAGGGACAGCTTCCGGAGCCCATCAGCCTTGCTGTGTGAACCCTGCCAGTCTCCAGCCTCGAAGGGAGCCTCTGCCCCCATGGTGGGTGGCAGGTTGGCACCCACCATCCTCAGTATGTTTGGGGACCGTGGTGCTCAGATCCCTGCCAGGCCCCTCAAGAGCCCAGGAGACAGGACCTGCCATCAACGGCTTCCATCTCCCTTTAGGGAGAATGACAGCACAGGCTTGCAGCACTGACGAACAGCGGGACAGACTTCCTGACACCAAGGCAGGAGGGACAAGCAAAGTCCAAGCTCCCTCATGCCTGGACCTATCTCCTCCCAGAGAGCACAGGAGTCTCCTGTCCCCATGGCTGCTCTCAGAAATTGCCCCAAAGCCTGGCAGCACACATCTTGTAATCTCAGCACTCAGGAGGCTGAGGCAGAAAGATCACCATGAATTCAAAACCAGCCTGAACTGCATAGCAAAATCCTGTCTCAAAAAAATAAAACAACTGCCCCAAATCTGCTCAGCATGTGGGGAGTACAGCACCCCTCCAAAACAAATCTCACTTCCTCTCCCTCCTTCCTGGCAGAGCTCCTACCCCATCTGGGAGGACTTCAACTCTAAGGCCACAAAGCTACATTCCCAGTTGAGGTGAGGCTGTGCGGTGCCCCCTGCTGGGGAGGGGTGGGTAGAGGAGTGCCCTCACCCACTGACCAACCCCTCAATTGCACGTCTCCCCAGGACCACTGTGCTGGCTGCTGTGGCCTTCCTGGATGCCTTCCAGAAAGTGGCTGACATGGCCACCAACACCCGAGGTGGGGAGAGACACGGCCGGCCAGGGATGCTCGGGGTGGGCAATGGACAGGCTGAGGGGGGCTCAGACAAGGGAGAGGAGCCCAGGCCCCGAGTGGAGACCTTGGGTTCTCCTCCCGGATGGACTGGGCTGGTTGTGGAGACAGTGAGCCCCCCGTCACAAGAGGCATGCAGGCATGAATGGTGAGTGGGGGCAGGAATGTCACAGGGCAGTGGCTCCCTCTTGTGCTGTGGCCGGTGCTGGCAACCCCTTAGCACAGTTCACCCTTCTCTGCTGTCAGTCTCTGGCCTTTCCTCACTCATCTCCAGTCCTGGGGATCGGGGTTCTTGGAGTGGTGAGAGCAACTGGCAGGTTCCCTCACGCCCACATCTGGGCACACTGGGAGGGGCTTCCTCAGGGCTGGTGCGGAATTTTCCTGGCTGTTCCTTGGGCAGCCCTTGGGGCATGCTTCTCAGCTGGGGCACAAGGGAGGTTCTGCCCTGGCCAGCAGGGCGCGGCTGCCCGAAGCTGGGATGACTGGGCACCGGTTCCCATGTTCCCCACGGGTCAGGGTCCTGCAGGACGGCCGTGTGGTAGGGCTGCTTGTGGACCGAGGTCTTGGCGAGCTGGCGTGCCCTCTCGTGGCCGCAGAGGGGACTGCGCAGGCCCAGGCCCACACTGTGCCCTTGACCCACCAGGGGCCACACGGGACATCGGCTCAGCGCTCACGCGCATGTGCATGCGCCACCGCAGTATCGAGACCAAGCTGCGGCAGTTCACCAAGTGAGTAGGTGTGGCGGGGAGCGTCCTGAGCCCCTGCATCCCGCTCCGCAGTCTGACCCCAGCTCCCACCCACAGTGCACTGCTGGAGAGCCTCATCAACCCGCTGCAGGAGCGCATCGAGGACTGGAAAAAGTCAGCCAACCAGCTGGACAAGGACCACGCGAAAGGTGGGACAGGGCTCCTTGCGGGCTCCCCACTTCACCCCCACAGGACTACTACGAGAATCTCTTCTTTTGTTCATTATTTGGATTTTTTGAGAGTGTCTCACCATGTAGTTTGGGCTGGCCTTGAACTCATTTACCATCCCAGGCTGGCCTCCAATTTGCAATGACCTCCTGCCTCAGCCTCGGATTATAGGCGTGTACCACCACCTCCGGCCCTAAAGCTTCTTCTTTACTCCTGGCACAGAGTACAAACGAGCCCGGCATGAGATCAAGAAGAAGTCATCGGACACTCTGAAGCTGCAGAAGAAAGCACGCAAAGGTAGAGCCCAGAGCGCCCCCCGAGGCCCAGCCCCGCGGCCCCACTTCAGAGCCTGATGGGCACCTCCAGGGCGTCCTCCTGGCCCGAGGAGCCCTGTCCCCAACACGAGACCCTCCAGCCTGCCGGGTGGGACAGAGGGAGCCATCCCGCCCCCAGACCAGCCCAGGCGCTCCTTGGGAGGCAGCAGGACGCCCCAGGTCCAGGCCCCGCCCCACCCCAGGAGTGGTGCTGTCCATCCGGCTGTCTTTCACACATTCTTTCTTTCTCTGTCTCTCCTCCTCTCTTCCTCCCACATCCTTCCTGTAGAGCTACTTGGTAAGTCAAACGTCCATCCCTCCAGCTGCTCCTCCTGTCCTTGTCGCATTTGTCTGTCTTCCCCCAGCTCAGGGCCATTGGAAGGACCCTCTCCAGGCCAAGGAGGAGCAAGGAAGGCGGCCTGTGCACCGAGGGCGGGGCCTGGGCCACAGTCCCCCTGGGGCCCCCAGGGCCCCAGCCAGGGATGAGTCCCAGGCCACTGCTGGGTCAGTCTGCAGGCCAGGAGGGGTTGACTGGTTGGGCCGGGCGGGCTGGGGCACGCTGTCCCCACCAGGCCAGCCAGCTCCTTATCTGTGACTTCCTGCTCCCCCTCACCGTCTCCTCCACATCATTCTCTTGCCTCTCTCTGTCTCTCTTGATGCTTCTTTGTGTGGCTCTTGTGTCCTTGTGTATTGCTCCCTGAGCTCAGCGTGGGCCCACGCTGAAACCCCTCGTCCCGCTCCCCAGGCCCTGCTCTGAGCCTCCTGGAGGCCTGGCCGCCACCCTGCTCTACTCTGGCTTGCTTCCACGCCACTTCCCTGTGCCCTGTGAGGCGAGGGGTGCCATCCCAGGACACCGAGGGTATCCTGGGCAGTGGAAGCCTCCATGGCCTCCGCACGGCCAGCCCTGTCCACCCCAGATCCTGTGGCTTTGCAGCGTGGGTGTCTTTTCCATGTGTGTGTCTGTCTTCTCTGCCTGCTCTGGTGGGATGAGCCCCTCCACTAGCCCCAGTCCACCTTCCCCCGTCCCCTGGTTCCCATGGTAGTGCCCAGCCCCACGGCCAGGGACACCACCGTGGGGGCCGGTGCCATGGGTGCAGCAGACCAGGCCGGCATCCCCAGCACGGCGTCTCCTCCACACCCCCTCAGGGAAAGGAGACCTGCAGCCCCAGCTGGACAGTGCCCTGCAGGACGTCAATGACATGTACCTACTGCTGGAGGAGACAGAGAAGCAGGCAGTGCGCCGGGCCCTGATTGAGGAACGAGGCCGCTTCTGCACCTTCATCACCTTCCTGCAGCCTGTGGTGGTGGGTCCCCAGGGCACTTGGAGGCCCCAGTGGGGAGGATCAGGCCCAGGGGAGACATATTGATCCTGGGGACGCTTGTCGTCTATGATCCCTAACTAGTTATTTCCAGGGCCACGTGCCCAAAATCAGGTCTCATAACTCATTGTGCACTGCATTGTATGAATGGGTGTCTGGCCAGCCCTGGAGACTCTGTGAGCCGGGCAGGGTGAGGGGAGAGACCTGAGCAGGCTGGGCAGCAGGTGGGCGACCGGACCATCAGGTCTTCCTGGCTGCTTCCTCAGAATGGCGAGCTGACCATGCTGGGAGAGATCACCCACCTGCAGGGCATCATTGACGACCTGGTGGTGCTGACTGCGGAACCCCACAAGCTGCCTCCCGCCAGTGAGCAGGTGTGGTGAGCCCAGAGAGAGCCAAGGAGGGGGTGGTCCTGTCCTCAGTTAGGGTCCAGTGAGGAGAGACAGGGGCAGCACTGTGGGGAGGCACATTGGAGAAAAGACTGGATCCCTTCCAGCAGCCACCGTGGGCATCCAGGAGCCCCTGCCAGGGTGAGGAGTGACAGAGGTCCCAGATCAGATTCCTGGCTGCCACTCACATGCAGAAACCCTGTCACCTACCCTAGACCCAGACACACCTGTCTACTTGAGCTGTCCCCTGTTCCCGCTGCACTGCCCACATGGCATTGCACTTGTAGCCACTTCTTGTGTGCCCAGCAGCCTGCTGTGCCCTCTTCATGGGGCACCTTGTTGAAGCCTCCTGCCAGTGCCCTAAGATGAGAACAGTTGGCCCCAGTTCACAGGAGAAAGTGGAGACTCGGAGAGTAATGAGTGGAATTTCTTGTGTCCTGGCTCCTCAACCAGTGCCCAGGGGCTCAGAGAAGACAGTACTGTGGCGTGTGCAGCAGGCACGCGTGCACGCATGTGCATGTCTCACCCCAGGAGGGAACTTGCGTCAGCAGAGTCTGGGAGAGAGGTTAGAGATGCTTAGGGTGGGGAAGCAGAGGGCTGCCGCCAGCCTAGCCAGCTTGCTGAAAGGCCCAGAAAACCCATAAGGCTCTCTGCAGGTGCAAAGCTGCCCCTCATCCAGTGACCCCATCTGTGTCCCCATACAGGTGATCAAAGACCTAAAGGGCTCAGACTACAGCTGGTCCTACCAAACCCCTCCCTCATCACCCAGCAGCTCCAGCTCCCGGAAGTCCAGCATGTGCAGGTTGGTAGGCGGAGGTCTCATGCTGGGGCGGGGTAACCCCAGGAGGAAATAGGCAAACACCCCGCAAAGCTGCATCAGGACTGCTTCTGGTCCTGGAGTCTGTGCAACTTCCCAGCACCTGAGGAATTTTCAAGTGCACAGGGAAAGCCCACCTGGTCGGCTGCCCCAATTGTTGGCAGGAAGGAAGGGACAGTAGCTTCGGTTACACAGCATTAGCTCTGCCAGGTGCCACACATTTCTTCACTGAATCCTAACACCACTGTGTTGGACATAGTATCATCTCCCTGTCACAGAATGGGAAACTGAGGCACATGCCTAGCATGTAATCACTGGATTCTACCAAGCCTGGGACAGAGTAGGATCATACTAGGAAATTTAGATCAGGGAAGAGGGCAGAGGTATCTGGGAGCCCCTGAGGTCTCACAGAGCCAGGGAAAGGCCCAGGAGCTCACCTGACAACTGGGCTGGCTCAGGATGGGGCATCCTCCCTCAGGCTGGCACTGCAGCTGGATTTGGAGGAGATATTTACCAGTCAAGGCTCCCAGGCAGGGTAGGCAGCAAGCCCAGTGCAGGTTACTGGCAGGGAGGCCTCTAGCTGGGCACCTGGGGCTTGTGAGAAGCAAGAGCCAGCAGTCACTTATTAGGGCTTCTGGAGCCTCTTGTGACCCTGAACAGCTAGCTGTCCCAGGAAGGAATGTTGATTTCAGGGCAAAGGACAAAGGTCAGGAGGCTCCAGCGTCACACTCAGCAGAAAGGTAACCTTCCACGCCAGGAAACAGCCCAGGGCTGAAACGGCTGTGCTGAGGGTCTGAGCCATGAAGTGCTGGGCACTGAGAGAAATGAGGGGACCAGGAAGGTGGTCCAGGGGCTCAGGACCCAACCTTGGACTGGCAGACTTTGAGAAGACAGTTTGGAAATGCATCTCTTGATCTGTGTTGTTTGATGCCTGCTGACTCAGTTTCCTCATTGTTAACCGAGGCAAGGAGACTGCCTTGTCCTGGGCATGCCCTGCCAGCACGGGGCTCTCGAAGAACTTGGCTGGGATGTCCCTGTTCCAGCCGTGCCCAGCCACACCGTCCCAGAACCCTGCCCCTCTGTAGCCCCTGGGCTCAGGACCTCGTAGTCTGACATTCTCTTTTCCCTCCTCTGCCCCTCACCTCTTTCCTACCCTCGTCTGTCACCCTCCCCTCCACACACACCCCCGTGTCTCTCTGCCTGGCCACTGTGCCCTCCTGCTTCACTCCCTCAGCGCCCCCAGCAGCAGTAGCAGTGCCAAGGGTGGCGGAGCCCCATGGCCTGGGGGTGCCCAAACATACTCACCCAGTTCCACCTGTCGCTACCGCAGCCTGGCGCAGCCAGCCACCGCCACCACCCGCCTCTCCAGCGTCTCCTCACACGACTCTGGCTTCGTCTCGCAGGATGCCACCTACTCCAAGCCCCCCTCGCCCATGCCTTCAGACATCACCAGCCAGGTGAGGGGACATCAGGAGGACCACCTGGGGTGGGGTGCAGCGTCCCGGTGCCTCACACTCGGGGTCCCAGGGCTACTGGTCCACTTTCCCGTTCTCCCCCATATTGATAGCCAGTTCTGTCTCTATGACTTTTTTGTTTTTTTGAGACCAACGTCTTGCTTTGTAATGCAGGCTGGCCTTGAACTCACAGCAGTGCTCCTGTCTCAGCCTCCTGAGTGCTGGCATCACAAGGGCGCACCACCGCACCCCGCAATCTCTTTGCTTTTAGACTCTGTGTTATTATGTTTTAAATGAGTCTTATAAACAGCATATGGCTGGATTTTCGTGTTTCATCCAAGCTAATGACATCGTGTTGTGCGTGCACGTGTGTGCTTGAGCACATGTGGGGGTGTTCCTGGGGATGAACCCAAGGCCTTACATATGCTAGACAGGCGCTGTACCCCTAGAGCTGTGTCTCCAGTCCCAGCTACTGTCTCAGGATTCCCACTTTCATTCAGTTGCTAGGGTTCCAATTAAATATATGTTGTGCCATCTCATTCTTAAACTTCTTATTTCTTTGTGCTGTGGTCTGGCTAAGTTGTCTTCCAATCTGCTTGTTCTGTTTTGCGATTTGACTGCCCACTGAGGGTGCTTTCTTTTAACTTTTTATTCTGGAATTTATTTATTTATTTATTTAGGTACCAGTAATCGAATCCAAGACATTGAGCTTGCCAGGCAGGCGCTTGTGCCTCTGAGCTATATCCCCAACCCCTGAGATCTCTTTAGACTTACACAAAAGTCACAGCAAGAATCCCAAGACCCCAGAGGCGCTCCCTACAGGCTCCTGCAGTGTTGGCATCTTAGGTAACAATTTTCAAAACCAGGAAACGAGCCCTGGCACAGCCCCCGTAATCGAGCCACAGACTCATTTCACGTTTTGGGGGTTTCCTCTCTGTTGTCTGTATGCTGTACGTTTTGCAGGTTTCCTCTCTGCTGTACAGAATCCTGCATTGTGTTTAGTTTTTGTCATCTGAGCTCCCTGTGCTTGAGTTCCTCAGTCCCATTCTCCTTCCTTTCATAACTTTAACACTTAAAGGAATGCTGGCCAGGTGTTTTGCTTTGCTTTGTTTTGTTTTGTTTTGTTTTGTTTGTTTTGTTTTTTGAGACAGGATCTCACTGTGCAGTTCAGGCTGGCCTTGAATTCACTGTGTATCACAGGCTGCCCTCAGAGTTGCACCAGTCCTCCCGCCTCAGCCGCCCAGGTGCTGGGATCACAGGTGTGCACCACCACACCCAGCTTGGTCAGGGATTTTGTGGGCTGTTTCTCAATTGGGGTTGATCAGGCTCTTCCCATTTAGAACCAGAGATCAGCCATTTCATAATACCACAGAAGTGCTGCTGTGTCCTCTTTGGCTCATCAAATGAGCCCCATGCTGTGTGTCCCTCATCCCTGGTGACACCATGATCCTTGGCCAGGCAGTGTCTGTGAGGCTTCCCCTCACTGGCTTCCCCTCCTGTTGTCATTAATCACGTCTTGAGGGAGATGCTTTGAGACTCCAAATAATCTATTCTTCATCAGACTTTAGCCCCATCAGCGCCCCCGCCCCGTGATGATGGTGACGTGCCTATTTCCTCCTGCATTATTAAGTGGAATCCTACTGTAAAAATACCTCTTTTCCCTCACTTATTGATGTAATCAATTACGTATTTATATCAGCATGGATCTATAAATATTTCCTTGATTTTATGGGCTATAATCCATTACCACTGAGTCTCTCTCTCTCTCTCTCTTTTTTTTTTTTTTCCCTTCACTTCAGAACCATTGAGTCTCTTAAGATCATCTTTATCGGGGGCTGGGGATTTAGCTCAGCAGCATAAGCGCCTGCCTTGCAAGCAGGCAGTCATGAGTTCGATCCCCGGTACCGATAAAAAGGAAAAAGACCAAAAAAAAAAAAAAGATCATCTTTATCGATGTACCCTGTCCATGCAGAGAGATAAATTTGTGCTAAGGGTACTGCTCCATGACTGGGCACAAACTGACCACACCCATGCAGCCAGCAGCTAGAACAGGACGAGTCTGGTTCACCCTGAAGCCCCCTTGGTCTCCCCGTCGCTGCTGTACCCAGGGGTAACCACTGTGCTGGGTCATTGTGCCTTTCTTACCTTCATCTTTCATAGATGTGTGTTCATCATTGCATGCACACACGTGTGGACGCGTACAGGTGTCCTTTGTGTCTGGCTTCGCCCCTTAGGCAGTGTGCTGTGAGTCCTCTGCTTTATGTGGTGATGTGCATCCCTCTCGTCCTGCGTAGCCTCTCCTGTATGGATACGTGGTTCACCCAGCCCTTCTACATCTGCTGGATTCTGGGTGGTTTCTGGTTTGGGCTGTGGTGGGGTTGATGGCCACTGGGAAGGTCCCAGCATATCTGTGTGCCTCGCCAGGACTTGCTGGGTCACAGAGGCACACATGGGTGGGTTTAGGTCCTGCTGGACGGTTTTCCAGAGTGGTCGCACCAGTCCACTCTGACAGCAAGGTGAGCACGGTTTACTGCCGGGGGTACTTTGTATCTCTCCCGTGTCGGCCATTCTGAGAAGTGCCGTTCTGAGCAGCACCCTGGGCTCTGAATTTGTGTGACCTTCATGTTAATGAGATGGAATGCCTTTTCCGACTTGTAAAGTCCGTTTGAGTATCTTTCACAAAGATTCTGTTTCATCTTTCGTTCATTATTTTCTCTGAAATTGTGTTTTTCCTAGTGATTTAGAACACTTTTCATATGTTTAGATACAAATCCTTCATTAGGTAACTTCCCTCACTCTGTGGGGATGTTTTTGTCCTTTTAATGAGAGCTTTTCATGGCTAGAAGTTCTGAAATCTGTAGTCCGGTTTATCTATCACAATATTTAAATCGTTCATGCTTTTGATGTCCTACTTGAAATATTTTTTCGTACTCCCAAGTCATGAAGATGTTTCCTTCTAGAAAGCCTTTTTTTTTAACCTCTTTATATTTTTCACTTAGATCTACAGCTTCTGTGGAACTGATTGATCAGTTGGTTGTGTATGGTACGAAGTAGGGACAGCTCTGTGTGGGTCTTTGATTAACCTAGAACGATCTACCGAAAAGACCACCTATGGTAGCCCCGCGATCTGACAGCAATGTATTTTTCACAATTCCAAAGACTCAGAAGCCCACGATCAAGGCCCCAGCAGGTTCGGTGTCTGCTGAGGGACTGTCTTTGGCTTCCCGGTGGGCCCCGTCTTTGTGTCCCCAGGGATAGAGGGGGCAGATGACTCCAGCAGGCCTCACTTAGGAGGACATCAGTCCCACCTGTGATGGCTCCAACCCAGCCTGTAAAGCCATTGTTGTGGGCCTTGGGATGTCAGCAGGTGACCTCTGAGGGACACAAGCAGCTGGACCGTGCACTGCGCAGGGGTCCAGGGGTCTGGGTGTGTCTAGCTGGCTGACAGGTCTGTCCCTGTGCCAACCCCACCTCTGAATGACTGTAGCTTTGCAGGAAATCTCTACACCAGCTAATAAAAGTCCTCCAACTGTCATCCGCCAGCATCACCTTTTCTATATCTGGCTCTTTCTGTTTCCTTACAAATTTTAGGGTTACCTCATCAAACAGCAAAACAAAAAGCTCCTGAGATTTTGAGCAGGATTACATACTTCTCACTTTATTTAGGCCTAAAAGTCTCTCAATGATGTTTTGTGGTTTTTATGTAAAGTTCTTGCACATCAGGTGTTCAGTATTTGTTGTCATTATAAATTACATCTTTGTTAGCTGCTGGTCTTTAGAAATACAATTGATTTTTTTTTTTTTTTTTGAGATAGAGTCTCACTATATAATTCAGCCTGACCTCGAACTTATAATGATCCTCCTGCCTCAGCCTTCCAAATGCTGGGATTAGAGGTGTGCACCACCACTCTAGGCTGACAATTCACTTTTTCTGGTTTTTTATCCAATAACAACTTCTTTTTTTTTTTTTAATCAGTACCGGGGATCGAACTCATGACCGATATCCAATAACTCCTTAATTCTGATCATTTGTAGTGTGTTTTGAGTAGTCCTATAATTGCAGGTAGTGACCTTCTTGTCTCTTCCTTTCCAGTCCTTTTGCATTTTACTTTCTTTTCTTACTTTACTGCACTGGCTAAGACTTCAGTGCTGGCCAGAAGTGCAGAGAGTGAGTGTCTGTGTTTTTCTCAGCCTAAGAGAGAAAAATATCAGCATTCATGCCGATAGTCTCTGTTGAATTAAGGATATTTCTTTCTATTCCTGATGCTTCAGAGGTGTTTTTTTTTTTGTTTGTTTGTTTGTTTTTTGAGCATTTTGTGTTTCAGTTTTCATGAATGGGTGTTGAACTTTTCCATCGACTTTTCCAAGTTTCTCTTTCCTTTTGAATTATTTACTTTTTTAACAGTCACACTGCTAGGAGTCTGAGAGTGTTACTTGCTCTGAATCTGCACCTTGGTGCTTGGTTCCTTTTTATTTTAGTGATTTCATTACTGGCTCTGTGGGTTCTTTCACTGCCAGAATCAGACAGCGTCCTGGCGCAGGAAGAGGCTTTGATTCTATAGTCGGGCACGAGGGGGAAGGCTGTGAGGGGCGGGCACCCAGCTGAGCCAAAGGACAAAAGTGCACAGCTTCCGCAGCATCCCTGGGTGGCAGGGCCTGGTCTCTTGATGTCATCACACACAGAGGTGGCCGCTTTATCTGACGGTGTCTTACATGGACTCCTCTATGTCTCCACCTGGAGGTGTGGTTGTCACCAGCGATATGGGGAAGGAACTAGAGGTTACTTCAGGGAAGACTCTGTGCAAGTGCTTGTCCCTCGCCACCTGGGTTTGGAGTACGGCAGATCACCTGCCTCTGCGGGCATGGTTTTATTGATCTTGGCTCTGGCTTCTTGTGTCTCTGCTAACCACACAGTCTGTGAAGGCTGAGCTGGTTTCCTGTCGCGGTGGTTTACCCTAATTTCACAGCCTTGAAGTCCAGTCCACTACCTATGTCTGTTAACGCCAGCGAGCTGGCCTCACTGCCTCCATCTGGGTTCATTGTACTCTGTAGGAAACCTGGGGATCCAGACCAGGGGTGACATGGAGAACGGGGCCAGAGCGGGGTGCTGCTGGTCCCCTCCTTGCTGCCCCGGCTTAGGCTGCTCATCACAGGCGAGCACTTGACTGGGGTCCATGTCTGACCACAGGACACAGTCTGCACCTGCCCTGGAAACCCAGCCACATGGCCCTGTCTCCGCCTTTGTTTCTGCTTCCTTTATTCTTTCACTTGTGTGGAGTAGAAGAACCGCCACCTAGTCTTCCCTTATGGGGGGGTCCCCCATGCACACTCAAGCCACTCCCAGAGGGGCCCCTTCTCCTTCAAGTCCACAGCCACCTCGGCTCCCTGGCAGCTCTTTGCTGCTCTCCTTCACTGGACTCTGTTCCTCCTGACCACTGAGCTCTTGGCCACAGCTGTCTTCGTGTGGCTCCAGGCCTGATGTGACCCAGCTCCAGCCTCGTAAACAGTGCTTGCCCACCGGGCACCTGCGCATAACTGGCAGCTCTGCTGTGTGTGCAGGACGGTGCCCAGGACTCCGAGTGCCACACTAGGCCATCAGGGAGTCCTCATTGTACAGCTCCTGAGCTGTGCCATTGGCCGGGCAGTGTCTGTCCTCTTAGGCACCCTGGGCCACTGCCCTTTGCCACACTGCTGTTGGTGGCCATGGCCCGTAGGAGATGCGTGCATGCCGGCGCTGTGACCACAACTGTTCTCTCCTCTCCCCCCGCCCCCCGCCGGCCCCTGTCTGCAACCACCTGCTCGCCTCTGCATGGCAGAAGTCCTCCAGCTCGGCGTCCTCTGAGGCTTCCGAAACCTGCCAGTCTGTTAGCGAGTGCAGCTCCCCCACCTCGGTCAGTGCTCCCGGGCCCAGGACTGTCACCAGCTGTTTACCCTGTGCCCTCCTGATCTAAGCCTGTCACAGTAGGGAGGCCCAGGTTTAGCCAGAGAGCTGAGTGCCCGTGGCACCTGTCTCCACCAGAGGAGCTGCCTGGCACCAGCCACCACCACTTCCCTTCTGGGACCACTTCTGCCCTGGGCCTGGCGGGATGGAGGGGTCATACCACCTTTCTGGCTCTGGTCTTGTCCACAATTGCAAGCCAGAGACCCGATGCAGACCTGGACACCCTTGGCCACAGGTAGCAAGGCCAGGGGTCCCCCTGACCTACCTGCCACACCTCACAGGACTGGACCAAGACTGGCCCCCACGAGCAACCCTCAGGCACCACCCTGCAGCGGCGGAAGGACCGAGTGGAGCTCCTTCGAGATGCAGAGCCAGGGCCGGCTAGTGTAGGCCCCCTGGGCCCCAGCGGGGAGGAGGCACCACGACCCCGGATGTCCCCTGCCACCATCGCAGCCAAGGTAGGCAGCCAGCTGCCAGGATAGCCTAGCCAGCCCCACCCCTTTGCTCCAGGATCAATACCAGGGGACCCAGCAGGTGGTTCCCAGGGCCATCCCCAGCCACCCTGGCAGTAACCAGGGAGTGTGGCCCAGGATAAGGGGAATGAGGCCTCAGTCTGCAGTTTCTCACCCCCAGCACGGTGAGGAGGTGTCCCCCGCAGCCAGCGACCTGGCCATGGTGCTGACCCGCGGCCTGAGCCTGGAGCACCAGAAGAGCAGCCGGGACTCACTGCAGTACTCCAGCGGCTACAGCACACAGACCACCACGCCGTCATGCTCCGAGGACACCATCCCCTCCCAAGGTGGGCCCTGCGGCCCTGCGCTGCCAGGGCCCTGTCCTTCCTTCTCTGTGTCCCCCCTGGGTGGTGGGGACTCAGGCGGCACGCAGACCCCAGGCCCACCTCGTCGTATGTCCCTAGGCTCTGACTATGACTGCTATTCCGTCAACGGCGATGCAGACAGCGAGGGCCCCCAGGAGTTTGACAAGTCGTCCACCATTCCACGAAACAGCAACATCGCCCAGAACTACCGCCGCCTCATCCAGACCAAGCGCCCAGCCTCCACTGCCGGGCTGCCCACCGCAGGGCTGCCCACCGCCACTGGCCTGCCTTCGGGTGCACCCCCTGGTGTGGCCACCATCCGACGCACGCCCTCCACCAAGCCCACAGTGCGCCGCGCCCTGTCCAGCGCCGGTCCCATCCCCATCCGGCCACCCATCGTCCCTGTGAAGACGCCCACCGTGCCCGACTCCCCTGGATACGTGGGGCCCACGCGGGCGGGCAGTGAGGAGTGCGTCTTCTACACAGACGAGGCCGCCTCGCCCCTGGCCCCGGACCTCGCCAAGGCCTCCCCTAAAAGGCTGAGCCTGCCCAACACAGCCTGGGGCAGCCCATCCCCCGAGACGGCCGGCTACCCTGGGGCGGGAGCCAGGCTGGCAGTGGAGGACGAGGAGGAGCAGCAGCTGGCCGCCAACAGGCACAGCCTGGTGGAGAAGCTCGGGGAGCTGGTGGCCGGGGCCCATGCGCTGGGCGAGGGCCAGTTCCCCTTCCCCACCGCCCTGTCAGCCACCCCCACCGAGGTGACACCCACCCCACCCCCTGCGGCCACCAGCGACCCCCCAGCCGAAGACATGCTGGTGGCCATCCGGCGCGGGGTCCGCCTCCGCAGGACCGTCACCAACGACAGGTCGGCGCCCCGCATCTTATGATAGTGCCAACCTCCCCACCCTGCATGGCCCTGGTGCAAGCAGGTGGCCTTGGTCTGTGATCAGCAGCCACGTGGAGCAAGGGTACAGCCAGAGCGAGAGCAGCACCAGGGACAAGGCAAAGCCACTTTACAGAAAAACACCGGCTGGGTCTCGGTCTCAGCGCTTACAGGAAGTGACTCTCAGCCCTCGCCAGGACGGAGCCCGCAGGCCTGGAGCTGGGTCGGGAGCTGGTTTTATACTTTCCTTGCCTACTCTGTTCCTCTCTTCCTCTCTGCAGGCCCCGCCTTTTCCAAACCCCAGCAAGTCCGCAAGGGCCTGGCCAGCCTCCCTCTTGCCATCCTGGCCCCACGTGGCCTGGGGTCCATAACTCAGCTCCCCTGGCCCACTGCTCCCTGGGGTCACAGTGCCCGGCTCTGCCTTGAATGCTCCCCGTGCCTGTGTCCCTTCCCCTCCCTTCACCACCTCTCTGCCTCTCCCTGGGCTCTTTCCACCTCCGGGACAGGGTAGTCATGGCAGCCAGCAGCCAGGCAGCTGAGGTATCTAATTGTGGTCCAGATGAGGGGAGCAATCGGGAGGCCAGGCCTGCCCATGGGGAAGGGAACCCAGGTCCAAGCAGAGTCTCTGGGAGGGAACGCATCAGGGGCCCTTGCAGGGGATCCTAGAGGACCTTCCTGGGCCCTCGCCCATAAGGAATGGCTTCGGGGAGCACAGGGAAGCAGGGAAAGAGTCTAGAGGCCCGTGGAGTCACCTGGCCAGCACATAGCTGTTTCAGATGTCATGTTCTCATCTGAGCACATTGAGACTTTAACTGGTGGCACTTTGGAGTTGCCGTTTCAGCCACCTTTGGATTGGGGCTGGAGCCGGAGAGGATTGGGGAGGGGGGTATTTTATGAGTCTAATAAAACAGAGCTGACCCCAGATAAGGACTTTGTATGGGGCTAGCTGGTGGTACAGGGTGTGTGTCTTCGAGTGCCTGAGAGATGGGGGTGACCCACAGTGGCCCAGTGGGCCTGTGGCAGGAGGAGAAGGGCAGGATTGCCTACCCCAAAACTGGGAGAAGATGCGTAGCTCTTCGCTCAGCCACAAGGAGGCTGTCGAGGGCAGGGCTGGGGCCATCTCTGGGCTGCTGTGGTGTGAGCAAGCTGCAGGCCCGCAGTGGGGAGCCAGCCTGGGAAGATCGGCTTTGACTCTCTGTCGCCAGAGGAGATGCTATCCCAGGTCAGTCCCCACTGCAGGCTGGGGCTGGCAGAGGGGCCAGGTGGAGGAGTGGGACACCCTCCTTCTGCAGGGCCCAGGTCAGGCCAGGTCTGAGCGGGTAAAAGCACGTGCGCCTAGGGCGAGTGGAGGGATGCCAGGTGGTCCACGGTCAGTGGGGAGCAGCAGGGCCCGAGGGTGGCGCCCCTCTGAGGCCAGGAGAGCAGTTCGCCTTGGTCTGACTCAAGGGGAGTCGAGGCCACCTGGCCTTGCACTCCTGCTCCTGGGCATTCTTGTGCAGGGCTGCTGGTGGATCTGGTGACCTAGGGTGCCCCTGTGCATGGGGAGTCCCCATGGTGGCCCCCAGGGACTGCTAGAGACTGGTCCGTGCGGTTCTGAGAAAGCCCAGCACCTCCCTCTCCAAGCTGTATGGACACCAGGGCCCCAGGAGTGGGGGCCAGGAGGGCAGGTAACCAGGTGGGGGTGCCCTAGAGTGGAATTTCTGCCACATCTATCCCCAAGGAGTTTTCCTGGGCAGCTGCTGAAAGGGGATGCAGGACATGGGAGGGGACAGCGTGAGGGTCAGCAGGGTGGGCAGGCGTGGCCTCTGGGCTGAGACAGCAGGTGGGTCCTAGGGTTCCCTTCAAGGAAGAGCTCGCTGCCTCCCGGGGGCATCACAGGGTGGCCACCTTGGCTCCTCGCCCTGATGGGAAGGGAGGCTGCAGACCTCCCAGGGAGGGGGCAGGGTGGGGCCCACACTCCGCCCGCCCCTCCCCGCCGAGCCCCCAGCTGTACATACTCCATCCCCGTCCCATGACTGTCCCTCCACCTTGTCATTTAGTGAGCACCTCATAAGCCTACCCCCTTGGGATCCGAGCCAACCATCCCACGTTACGAACTTTGGTTTGGGGGGCTTCTTTACATTCGTTTTATTTTTCATTTTGTACAGAGAAATATTCTTTTCAAAAGCGTCTTTTGACCGAAGTAACTTTTCTGGTGCTGTTGTTAACTTGTTCCTTTTTTTAATTTATTTCCCCCCTCCAGACTGCCCCGCTGGCTCCCACTCACCCCTTTCCTCCCCTGACCCCGCTCCACCACACCCTCTCATCCCATCTGGACCATTCTGTTTCTTTTCTTTCTGTCTGTTTTTGGATAAATTCTCTCCTCCTGCCCTCTTCACTCCATCCTCCCTTGATTTAAATAGTCACTGCTACAGTAACAAACGCACTGTGAAGATTCCAGTATTAATAAAGTTGTACTGTAATTAACAGCCCCGCCTCCGCCGGCTTCCCTGCCTCTTCCTTACCCCTACCGCCTGGCCTGGGTCTCCCAGCGCCCCCGGGCTCCGTGCCAGGCAGGTCTGACTGGTGCAGGGACAGGAGTAGCCGGGGCTCTGACCTGGGGCTTTGAGATGTGCCCACTCTGCCCCTGCTGGGGGCTCTCTATGCAGCCAGAGAAGACAGCCAACGTCACCGTCATCACTGACCACCCCACCTCCCAGTGATGCCCTTCAGACCTGCTGAGGTACCATGGCTGGGGCAGCGCCAGGAGGAACTTGATCCTCGAATGTCTCTGGACAATGCTCTGTCCACTCCAAGTCCTTCAAGTCCAGATGCTGACCACCAGCCACACCGCCCATCCCATCACCTGCCCTCGATGACCACGTTCACCACCGCAGATGCAAAGCAAGCCAAACCAAACCAAAACAAGCAGGTGTTTAATAGAAAAAGATACTAGAATAGCATCCACTGTGGCAAGATGTGGCATTTGACTCCACCCTCTGTGCGACCTGGCTGAAAAGCCACCGTGAGTCCCGGAGTCCTACGTGGTCCCTGCATCTCTGCCTGCTGCCTGGAGGAACAGCTCTGGCTACAGTGACCAGGAGACTGGCACTACCTACAGCCGGGGAACCTGCAGCCCCCAACACTCCATGGTGACAGAGTCAGGTCAGAAAGCAGGAGCAGAGCCACCTCCAGCTCAGGGCTTCTCCGAAGGGTGCCAAGTCTGAGGCCTGGCCCAGCTCCAAGGACTCATGAGGTCCCCACACAGGATCAACATACGTACAGCTCAGTCCAAAGAGACCTCAGCCCTGGGCCCTGACCTGGGGTCCAGCACATAAGCCAGGGAGCCGGGCAGGCAGCTGCAGAGCTACTAGGGTGGAGGCTATAACCCAGCGGCTGCACACTGCAACGAGCGCTCTAGACTTCGAGGCTGAGGACCTGGCACCTCACAGTCCTGCCAGTTTAGGATGGGGCTTTGTTTACCTGTAAAGGATAAAGAGGAAAAAAGAGACTGCAGGAGACGTGAAGGGCCACCCTTAGCCAAGCCACTTTTTTTTTTTTTTTTTTTCATTACTGGGGATTGAACCCAGGAAGTGTTGAGTTACTACCTCCCCGGGCCTTTTTTAATTTTTATTTTGAGATAGGGGCTTGCTAAATTGCCTGGGTTGACTTTGAATTTGTGACCCTCCTGCTTCAGCCTCCCAAATAGCGGGAATTACAGGCATGTATCATGCATGGTACTCAAAAGCCATACATTCTTTCTATGCTGTATTCAGAGTCTTGGCTTCCAGAAGTGGCCTGCCACTCTGGAGAACAGAGTGTATCCCCCAAGGGTGCCGATGTGGGCCCAGACACTCCTCCCCACTCCCCCGGCCCCACTCACTGGGGGCTCCTTACAGCAAGAGCAATACAGCAGTTCCATGACCCGGAAGCAGTTGTCCAGCAGGGCTTTGGGCTTTACCAGCTTCAGGCTCAGGCCTGGGGCATTGAGGACAGACAACACGGCTTCCACCTTGGGGCTGATCTCCACACCCTGGAAAGAAGGGAACCATCAGGACCAGGGACAAATGGCCACAACACACAGAACAGTAGGGTCATTTGGCCTGGTGCAGCCTCAGACTTCCTGTGACAAGGGGCTGGTAAGTTATGTCTCACCTCTCTAGCGGGCAAGGGAAGTTTAGTTAAGTTTGTTGTTTGTTTGTTTTAGAAATAGGGTCTGAAAAATCACACTGATCCGCCTGCCTCAGCCTCTTGAGTGTTAGGATTACAGGTGTGCACCACCACACCTAGCTCTCTTTTATTTTATGTTACTGTTTTGTGACGGGGTCTCACTACATTGTCCATGCCACAGTGATATACCCAAGGAACTAAAAACAGGGACTTGAAAACCCCTGCTTGTAAGCTCATGTTCACAGCCCCAATGAAAAACTGGATGCAACCCAAGGCAAACAGATAAATCAGAGGTAGCAGCTACACTGATAAAATATTACCTGGTCGTGAAAAGGAAAGAGTTTCTGAGACATGCTATGCCATGGATGAACTATGTTTTTAGAGCTAGGATCAAATTCAGGGCCTCACAAAAGTGGGACAAATGCTCTACTGCTGACCAGAAGCCCAGCCTGATGGATTAAAAAGGGTTTTTTTCCCTCACTAGGGATTTAATCCAGGGCCTTTGTCCTCAGCTCTTTTAGTTTTTGTTTGTTTCTCTCCTGAGACAGGCTCTCACGACGTCACTAAATATCCCACGCTGGACTCTTCCCGCTATCTTCCTACCTCAGTCTCCCAGAGATCCGGGACCGATGAGTAAATTTTGAAAACATGCAACTTATAAGTTACCAGATGCAAAAGGACAAATTTTGCATGATTCCACTTCTGTGCGGGACTGGGAAGAGGCAGCTGTATAGTGACCAAAAGCAGATCACAGGCTGCCAGGGGTGCAGAGAGGCAGAAAATGGGGAGTGAATGCTTCTTGGGTAGCTTCCATTTGGGGTAACAGAAGATTCTAGAAATGGGCAGACGTGATGGGTGCCTAACACTGTGACATAATTAGCAACACTTAAATTTTGCAATTTAAAAGTGGTCAAATGGCAGATTTTATATTATAAAGCATGTTCTGTCACAGCACACCCTCCTGTCCCCACAGCCTCTATCTAGAATCTTCTTTGTGTCTCTTTTCTGAAGGAAACTGAACAAAAGAAGGGAGGAAAATGTAGGATTAGAACAATGTGAGCCCGGAGTCCGGGCACCTCTGAGTAGATGGGGACATAAAGTTAAGTCATGGAACCAGTCTACAGCTACCATTTCAGAGTTAATTCTGAGTTCTTCTTACAACTGATGGAACTTCCAGGGCGTAGAGGCCCAGCCTGCGATCCCAGCACTCCTGGAGGCTGAGGCAGGAGGATTGCAAGTTCAAACCCAGACTGAGAAACTTAAGGATTTAGTGCGACCCTGTCTTGAAATTTAAAAAGGATGAGGATGCAGCTCAATGTGACGGGCCTGGGCTCAAACCCCAGTAATGGAAAATATGTGTGATTTTTTTGTTTGTTTGGTTTTGCTTTTTGAGATGGGGTCTTGCTATACAGTTCAGGCTGGCCTTGAACTCACGGCAATCTTCCTTCCGCAGCCTCCCAAGTGCTGGGGTTACAGGTGTGTGCCACCACAGCTGGCTCTATATGTAAGGTTTTAAATTTTTACTTTTTTTTTTTTTTTGGTATCAGGAATTGAATTCAGGACCTTGTGCTTGCCAGGCAGGTGCTGTACTACTGAGCTATATCCCCAGCTTTATTTTATGTTAAAGAGAAAAAAATAACAAAATTTCAAAACTTGATAATTAGAGGATAACAATGGTTCATACATTGCAATATTTAAGTCAGTTACTCAGTGTGCAAGAAATCTGCATTTAATTGTCTAAACAATACTTACACACGAACCTTTCTTTTCTATGTGGAAAACATATTTTAAAAAAACAAGTGATGAATCTGAAGCCCATGGATGAAACAACAGCTGGAAATAACCGTTACCCGTTTCCCCGGTCAGGCCTACTACATTATCCGACCACAAGGAGACTTACAAGCAAAGAAAATCTGGAGGTGGTTTTTCTCTAAGTGAGATCCAGCTTAACAACCAGGTCACAGAATGCTAACAATGTCAGAGCGAGACATAAGCCAAGCATGACGGCACACACTTGTAATTCCAGCACTCCGGAGGCCGAGCCAAGAGGGTCTCTGTGAGTTTGAGGCCAGCCTGGGCTAGTGAGTTCAAGACCAGCCTGGACAAACAGCAAGACTCTATCTCATAAGATGAGAGAGAGAGAAAAGAAGGAGAAGAAAGAAAGAAAAGAAGGAGGAAGAAATAGATGTAAAAGATGGCTACAGGGCTGGGATGCAGATCAGGAATTCAGTGTCCAGCACCAAAAATTTTAAAAGCTAGCTATGTCTGAATAATAAAAGAAGTCTTATGTGCGCTGCTTTAATCACAAGAGGCCATCCTTGGCAAGCAGAGTGGAGGGCCGGTATCCCTGTTTTCTGCTCCCGCATCTGTTTTCAGATCTGTTTTGAGAAAAAAACTAGCGTGGAAATGTCTCCTCCATGCCCAACAACCCCCTCCCTGTGCCCCTCTTGCCCATGGGCATCAGTCACCCAGGAGCCGGCTGGGCCTCTCGGCCTCCATAGGAACGGAGGCCTTGCTGGCCTGGCCAAAGGCAGCTGCCAAACAGCTGCTGCTCCCTGAGCACTGTCATCCTCGGGCCTCACACTTGGTGCCGGATGCTCTGGGCCTGGTGGGCAGAGGCTGGTGGAGCCTGGTGGCAGGTGGGCCCCAGGCAGGTGTGTACCAGGGGTCTCAGGAAGGCTGGTAGGGACAGGTGCCCTTCCTGGGGACACGATGATTTCACTGACTTTCTTTTTAGTGTGACTTGGGCGCTTATAGACCACATCTCCTCAGGGTGGTAGATCAACCCCACTGTGTGGGAAGGAACCTCTATTTTTTTTTTTTAATTAACTCAAGTCATAGTCATTACAGCTCACACCCTGTGTTGGGGCTCTCTGGATTTTGGCAAATTTATACTGTCATGTGCCCCATTAACACATTACACAGGATAGTGTCACTGTCCTAGAGACCCTATGCTCCACCTGGCCTTCCTCCCCACAAAGGAGCCTCATTTCTTTTTTTCTTTTTTTCCTTTTTATCGGTACCAGGGATCAAACTCACGACCGCCTGCTTGCAAGGCAGGCGCTTATGCCGCTGAGCTAAATCCCCAGCCCCTAAGGAGCCTCATTTCTTAAACATAGAAAAATTCCTCCAGGCACAGTGGCAAACTCTAGGAGGCTGAGGCAGGAAGACTGCAAGTCCTAGCCCAGACTGGGCAACTTAGTTTCTAATTAAGAAATTAAGAAACCCTGTTTCTAATTAAGAAAATAAAAATTTAAAAAGGTCTGGGGATATAGTTCAATGCAAAGGCCCTGGGTTCAATCCATAAGAAAGAAAGAGAAAAGAAAATCCAGAGACTCCCCACCCTTGGGACACCCCACGACCCTGCCGGACCCTCCCTCCCCCCCGCTGCCCCACCCGCAGCCAAGACTCCCGGCTCACCACAAAGCCCTGCTGCACCTTCAGCAGCAGCGTCTGAACCTCCTCCAGGTACCTCCAGGACGGGTGGCCCTCCAGCAGCACGCCCTGCACCGACTCCGTGGCACTGACACTCACCAAGACCCACAGATAGCGCAGCTCCTGCTCACTCACCCGGGCCCTCTGCTGCGGGGACAGAAGAGTCCCTGGAACCTGCAAAACCCTCCCGTTCCCAGCAACCCACTGTGGCAACCCCAGGCTGGGTCAAGGGCAGGGAAGGGGCCCACGGGGGATTGCGGGGCAGGGGTCTCACCAGCCTGGTGATGTTGGCGACTCTGAGCACCCCCTCGTAAGGCACGCTGACCCGGTAGTTGATGGGAAAGTAGTGTTTCTAGGAGGACAGCAACACACCACGAGGTCAGAGACAGACATGGCTTAGATGGGTGGCCCAGCCTGGGGGGTGCTGAGGTCAGAAAGGGGCCCGCCCAGGCCCAGCCCTGGGAGGGCAGCGGGGTCCTCTAAGGAGAAGACACGCCTGGCTCCCAGTTGGACAGAAGACAGACACAGGCAAAGTGAGACCAAAGACCGCAACCTCCCTGGCAAGGCTGAAGTTTCAGGCCCACGATGAGGCCCCACTACGGTCAAGGACGCATATCTTGGGCAAGGGGGTGCGGCCAGGCCTACTGTGCCAATGGCCTCACGGCTGGACACCAGAAACCAACCCGCTGTGCAGTGCGAGTGGACAGATGGATTCTGCGAGATGTGAGTTAGCGCCAGAGAAAACCATTTTTAGAAGCATATAGATCAACTCTTGAAGGAAAACCAAACATTTCATTTGTTGGTCTTTGTCTCTGCCAGGAATACGCGCCTGGGGTTCACAAGGAGTCACCACGGTCCAGCAACTAAAGGTCAGGTCTGGGAGGGGAGCGGGGATCTGGGAGACGACAGGAGTGGACGGAGTGCAGACCGGACGTGCGTTGGGGCTTTGCGACAGTGGACAGGGAGCGGTCGTGACTTGGGTCACGACTTGGGCCCTGCCCCGGGCGAGCTGTTGGGCCGGAGTGCGTGCAGTTACCATGTACTGGAGCCGGTTCCTGTACTGCAGCTTGTCCCGCAGGAAGCCCGTGACAGCGCACTCCTGATGCTGGGTCAGAGGCCACACCTCCAAACCCTCGTTTCCCAAGGCCACACCGAGGAGGATCCCAAGATCTGTGGACCACACCCAGCAGGAGCACATGAGCACCAGGCACTGTGTCCCCACGTCCCAGGGCGCCAAGCTGCACCCACCGTCAACCGTTTTCTTGGGTTGCAAGTGCTGGTGGGAAGGTGTGACAAGAGCAGAGCCCCAGGGAGCCTTCCCACCCAACGAGTTTGCACCCAATGCTTTCCCAGGCCTGGGCAGAGACCAGCAGGGACAGGCATCAGTGAGCAGTCCGCGTGGTGTCCAGTGTCTACCCCACAGGAGCACTGGGAAGCGCCCAAGGCCACTCTCCAGCCTTTCTCAGGGCTCAACCTCCCTTTCAGGACAACCTCAGCCCCTCCCCTAGGGCCACAGGTTTTCAAAGCCTGTTGTTGGATTTTCCATCCAGAGACCCATGGATTCCAGTTCCAACTCTAAAAGTGACTCTAGTGACCTAAACTACTCTCTGTCCTGCTCTGCCTGACACCCTCGGTTGAATGCACCCATGGTCTGCAGCACTTTGGAGGCTGTGGGATGCTAAGCAGACCTCCCACTGGCTGTACCTGCAACCAATAAGCTGCCTTGACCACTAGGGGTCACTGTGACCCCAAAAACAGCCTGGGTGATCTCTGCAGCTCTGGACAGAAAAAATACCTGAATCGGCAATCAGTGTGAGTAGGGGTTAAGTGAATCAGAGCAGAAAGAACAGAATATAAAAGGAAAAGATGTACAAAATGGTCAAACGCATAAAAGAAAGACATTCACATTAAAACAGCCCAGTAAATCTATTTTATGTCAAGGAGAAAAAGAAAGAAGAGGAAAAAGAGCTGTTCACAGTAGTACATGCTTGCAGTCCCAGCTTTTCAAGAGATGAAGGAGGATCACAAGTTTGAGACCAACCTGGGCAACTTAGTGAGCGCACATTTCAAAACAAAAAATACAAAGGGCTGGGAGTGTAGCTCAGTGACAGAGAACTTGTTAGCTACTCAAGGTCCTGGGTTCAAGACCCAATATCACTTCAAAGAAAATTTAGATGCCATCTTTTATCTATCAAAATGCGTGCTTGTGTGTTTGTTTTGTTTTATTAATATCTGATGGGGGGCTGGGGATTTAGCTCAGTGGTATAAGCACCTGCCTTGCAAGTAGGCGGTTGTGAGTTCAATCCCCGGTACTGACTTAAAAAAAAAAAAATCTGATGGATGGGCTCAGCGGCACAGCGCCTGCCTGGAATCTGATGCTGGCCAAGTAGTGAAATAGGAATTCTCACCCTAGAAAGCAGCAAATTTTGTTATTAACAGATTGACTCAAGGCCACACCCTTTAGCCCACTAAACTCATAAACTGTAAGAAAAACAAGAGAGTAGTAACCACAGTATTTATAGATAAAGATTTACTGCTGCAACATTATTTTATAATAGGGAAAACTCTGTAAGCAGCCAAAACATTACGTATGAATGAATGTAGCCAATAAAAACCACATTCTCAAGGAATGATACATTTACATGATGAGAAAAATACTTAAGATATGCTATGACATTTTTAAAAATCATGACCCAGCGGTGCAGAGTGGCACACTCTTGTGGTCCAGCACTCTAGGAAGCTGAGGAAGAGCACTAAAAGTTCAAGCTCACTCTAAGACCCTGTCTCAAAAAAAAAATTACAAAAGGGGTGTGGGCATGCCAAGGCCCCAGGTTCAATATCCAGTACTGGGGAAAAAGTAAAAAATAAATGCATGACCTGGTACTATCTACATACATAGCAGGACTTAAATTTTGTTCCTTGTTCCATGACTTTGTGTGAAAAGTGTAGAAAGAAATGTACCAAATCCTTATGGGGGTTTATTTCTTTATATTTTTCTAGACATTTTTTATTACCTATAATCAACACATATTCTTATTGTCAGAAATAGTAAATATCCTCGTTTTTTTTTTTGTTTGGTTGGGTTTGGTTTTTGCAAAAGTAGCCAGGCAGGCTGAAGCACCTCCCTGACCTGCTATGAGTAGAAATTACTGATTGGACTTTCCTCACTCACTTCCTGGCACCTTGGAAACTTGTCCCTCACCCTGCTGGCCTGGCCACTTTACCTGGTAGGTCACCTGCATTCCTCCCCCAGTCTCACCTTCCTTAGATCCTGCCACCCCCGGGCCTTTGCACTTGCTGGGACCCCTTCACAGAGCACCTTCCTCAACCCTGAGCCTGTGCAAGCTGCAGCCATCTGCCCCTCCCTTCCTCAGAACCTTAACAACCACAGTTTGGCAAGATTTCAAGTTGGCAATAATCTGTCTCGCACTTCCCCTGTCCCCATGCACCTGACACAGTAGTGAGCCCGAGGAACAGACAAGCACAAACCCAACCAGAGTGTCGCTCTTTGCCATCAGCTTGCTTTCCGTGTTGAAATCACAGAGCTTCTCTGCCCCTGTCTGTGGTCAAGATTGTTCCTGCATCCGGGGCTTTTGCTCCTGTCCTGCCTGGCCTTGGCCATCCCCTCACACTGAAGACCTCTTCCAAAGTTCCACTGAGGCTCTGTCCCCCAAGCTTGGGGTCTCCCCTGCTTGTACGGGCACCCCCAACTCCTGTCTCAGCACCACATGTCCGTGTCATTCATTATCTGGCCGGGGCACCTAACCCTTGCATGAATCCCTAATGACGGTGCCCATAGCGTGGGCTCCCTGCCTGAGCACCACAAGCCTAAATTTCTGGGTTTGCCTCTAGCTGTGGAAATGGGAATCAGCCTCTGACACCCCTAGGGAGCTGGCTGAGGCCTGATAGCCCAGTCCTGCCCAAAGCCTTGGATCCAGCAGGTCTGGGCTTGGACCAGAGAAAGTGTCTTTGGGAGAAGCTTCCAGAAGAAGTTGTGGTCCCTGGTCATGGGATACACTTCAGAGACCACAGATCAGGGCTGGGGTGTAGCTCGGAGACACGGTGCTTGCCCAGGCCCTGGGTTCAGTTCTGTGTTGCAAACAAAACAAAAACACAGACCTAGAGTAACTACTATCCCCTAGTCCATACCTGACCCACAGGAATTCTATGAAGAAATCCAAATTTCCATCGGATTAGAATCTTTCTAAATCAGGTGTGGTAATGCATGGCTATAATCCTAGCCAGGAGGATTTCAAGTCTGAGGTCAGCCTAGGCTGCACTGAGACGGTCTTAACTTCCCACCACCACCCACATACAAATAAAATAAATAAAATTAAAGGAGTGTTCCTGGGTGCAGCCATCACTGAGGCTGCCCACTCTATCCCCAAATCCTCCACTGGAAACTGTCTCTCTGGAGCCTTTAGGACCTGCCAACTGTGTGACTTCAAGACAGGAGCTGTGTCTTCCAGTGCTTGCAGCCTGGCCCAGCCTGGGCCAGGCGGTACATTGTCCCAGGAGAACCTGGGCCAGCACCCTTGAAGTCTGCAGCTGGGCCACTGTTTCTCATTTTCAGCTTATTTTCTGCAGCCTCCACTAGGATGAGGCAGGAACAGGACAGCCAAAATCTCTGAGGGTGACCACTTGTCACCCCAGGGCCCGTACAGTCAAGCGCACTCCTGACCCTGGCGGGGAGGCCTCCACGATGAGAACCAGCGAGGCCAAAGCGGAGGCTGAAGGAGACCTATGTAAGGTTTCCCATTATTTGGGACCCGAGTGAAGGGTCTCTGGATGAAAACATCCACAGCTAACCCCAGTGACTGGTGTCCTGGTAAGAAGAAGAAACACAGAGACACAGAGGGAAAAGCTGGCCAAAGACAGAGACAGAAGTGGCAGAGTAACCCCACGAGCCACAGAAGCTGGGGGGGCGACAGAAGGAGCCTCCCCAGAGCCTCGGGAGGGTGCAAGCCTGGCCTGCAGCCTAATTTCACATCGCCGGTCCCCATGTCGTGAGAGTACATTCTGTTGTCCTGAGCCACCCAGTCGGCCCTGCACTCCCTCTCGGGTCCTGGTCCAGCCCTGAGAGCTGCCTCCTCCTTTCCTCCCTCTCTTCCCCTTCACGATGGGAACTGACCCTCAGTCGGTGCCCCCCACCCCAGCCCCAGGCTCCCTGGTATCTCCCACACACTCTGCTCAGCCTTCGAGGCCTCAGCCCCCCGGGTCTCCTCAGGCTCTGCAGCCCGGCCCCTCCCAGCCCCTCCGCTGAGCCTCTGCCCATGCTGTGCCCTCTGCCTAGACCACCATCCCCTCGACAGTGGTAGGCCTCGATGGACACTGCCCGGCCTGGGGCATCTCCCTCACCCTGCTTCCCCTGCTCCGCCACACCTGAAAACCCATTGCGCTGGGTCACTCCTGGGCACCCAGCTCGGAGCCAGCTGCACTCCTAATGGGTCCTGGGTGACCCAGAGAAATGTGTTTGAGCAGAGTCAGTGACACTGGGCCTTAGGGATCTACGGGGTGTGTGGTCTGGCCTCCCACACCTAGCAGATAAGACAGCTCTCCACTTCCTTCCTTTTTTATTCCTGTACTTGTCTTAACTTATTTTTCTTTTTATATACAGCCCTGTTATCTTCCTGCTTTTTCATTCTGTTCTGTCACGACGGGAGGGTTTGAGGGGTGCTGACTGTTTCTCCTGGTTCCTGGACATATGTGTCCCACCTGTCTTGAGTCCCTGGTCCCTCCCCCACTGACCACACCCAGGGAGGACAGAAATCCCCTCTCTGCCACCTCCATCCCACCGTGCTCTCCAGTGCCAATGTGTCTGCAGGGAAACGCTGCCACCTGCTACAGTGGATCGCCATTCTGTAGCCAGTGACCGCACCCTCCCAGCCGGGGCTTGGGGCCAGCTTGCCCTTCTGAGCTTGGGGTCAGTGGCAGGTAGGGCAAAGGGCAACTACAGAGTCCCTGTCCCCAAGATGCCTGCAGCAAGGCTGGAAGCATCTCAACTTCTCCCCTTCAAGAACACCCTCGTTGCCGTGGCTACAGCAGAGCCCACTCTGGTCCAAGGCTTCGCAGGGAGGGTCTCCAGGGACCCCGGTACTCACAGTGCAGCCAGGCGAGTCCCCGGGGCATGGTGGTGCACTGGGTCCCCCAAGAGCAGAGGCACTGTCACCGGCTGTGTGTGCAAAGGCGTGAGCAGTGTCTACATGGCCTCAGGTCAGCAAAGGCGGCCACCAAGTCCAGGCAGGCTGGCCAGGAGGAGGTGCTGGACAGCAGGCAGAGGGCAGATGCTCCTAGGCACAGTGACCCTATCTCCCTGGCAGGGCAGTGGACAGCCTGGGGGTGGCGGTTCCCTGTCCCATTGCAGCCTAGGAGCTGGCGGTGGCCGGTGGCCTCAGGGTCTTCCTTCTTGAGGAAGGGCAGGATCCCAGCAGGTCCCTCAGAGTCTCAGGCTGGGTGGTGCTTTCTCCGATTTCCCGACTGCAGCTGCTCAGTGTGAAGTCTGGCTCTGGAAAAAGAAGGAGGAGGGAAACTGATTATGTAAGAGCCGTGCTGCCACTCAGCCATCAGCCAGGCAGAGGACCCGCCACGCTGCTCCCTGCACTGGGATGCCCTGCCCTGGCTGTCAGCCACCCACCTGGGGACGCAGGCTTACTCAAGACATGACTGCAGGACACCGGAAGGGCTGCCCCTGGCCGGAATGAGTTACGATAACCCTGGCTGGCTGGAAGCCTCGGGCAGGAGCAAAAGCAAATCAAGAATGCACGGGCAGTAGGCGCACAGCCCAGAGGCTGCCTGGATGAGGTGACACCAGAGACAGGCAGGAGGGACTCCGGCTGCAGGTGACATGGAGAAGCAATAGAATGCCAGCTCTCCACCCGTCTCCAGACAAGGTGCCTCCCTGCTGGGTGAAGTTCTGATTGTCTAGTTACCTTTGAATTCCAGAAAACAAACACTTCTTCTAGTATCATTGTGTCATGAATCATTTCTAGCGTAAGTATGTTCCAAATATAAATTATATAGGCTATGCTTATGCTAAAAAATTATTCATTGATGCTAGGCATGGTGGTGTAAAGGAGAGTTCGGGGCCAGCCTGGGCTACAAAGTCAGTTCGAGGCCAGCCTAAATGATCTAGAGAGACCCTGTCTCACAAGCAAACAAAATAAAACACATTATTCATTGTTTTCCTGCTATTCCACATCAATCAGATACAACTTATGTCATATATTATATCTAATATATGTAACACTTATTTCATATATATTTTTTTAAACATTTGGCAACTCTGTGATAATATGGGAGCCCTTGGGGCGCTCTCTCTTTCTGAGCTTTCTATGTTCTAGACCCAGGGTCAAGGCCTTTATATTCGTTAAATCCTCAAAACTATTTAATGAGACCATAAAAAGCTTTTTATCAGTGAGGAAGCTGAGATCCAGAAAGGTTAAGATCACCCAGCTTGTAAGGAGCACACGGCAGGATTTCAGGCTGGTTGTCATTCTGGACAGTGGCCCCTCCTGGGAGCCCAGTGTTCTTTCGGTCATCCCACCCGGTGCTCGGTGCTCGCCGGGCTCTCTGAGGTACAGAATACTGCCTCCATTTTGTAGATGAGGCCGGGCTGGCCAGTAGGGGAGCCTGATTTAGGCCTCAGTTTCTCAGCGGGTTCTCGTCTGCCCCCTTGAGCCCCTTCCTCCCCTGTGGTCTGGGGAATGGCCACTGGTGGAGGATGTGAAGGGAACTGGGTAGGATTTGGGGGCCATTCCCACAGAATAAACGGCAAGTGCTTCCCCTTGGGCCAGGATGTGGTTCGCTACATGCCCCAGGCCCAGGGTTCCATCCCCGGCCCCTGGCAGCTGCCCTGCCTACAGTGTCCACTGCAAACACTACCCTTTTGGCTGTTGAGTTCTTTTTTGTTTCTTCAGGTTTATAAAGGTATAATTTACAAAACAGGAAATTCAATTTTTCCCCATGTGCAATTCTAAGAATGTTGACAAACACATACAGTCATGGAACCATGATAGTAATCAAGGCAAAAACCATCTGCACACACCCGGAGAAGCCCCTCAATGCCACTCAGGCACTATCACCTCCACCGGGCCAGCACTAAGCACAGCCTGTCTGGTTCCCAGCCAGCACTTTTCCCACGCGGTCCCCTCTGTCCCACACAGAGTGGCAGGGCCGCCTCTCCCCCGCAGGCTGTGCACTGGGGCTCCATCATGGCGCTGTGTCAGTGGCCCCCTCCTGCCCCTTGCTGAGCAGCAGTCCATTGTGTAGAAGGACCATTGTTTGTCCGCCCACCTGGGCGGCATCTGGGCTGTGCCCAGCTCTTGATGGTAAACAAAGCCACTAGGTGTGCCCAGGTTTTGGTGCGGCTGGAAGTTTCCATCTCCCTCAGGTCGTGCCCCACAGCTGGGACCTGGGCCGCCACCACTGAGTCCCTTGCTCAGAGCTCCCCACAGGGGCTCAGCACTCGGGCCACCCAGCCCCGTGGCCTCTCTGATCCTTACCCCTTCTGCCTCTGCACCAGCGAGGCCTGAAGCTGAACCCCAGCACGGTCCTGACTGCGCTCATCTGACTGCTGGTGAAACCACATGTGTGAGAGCAGGGGTCACCTTCACATTGACTGTATCAAGTCCCGAGCCTGGGCACCATCCGGGGCTCACTCTGAACCCTACAGCAATGGGGGCAGTGGGAGAAAGTCAAGGAGGCCACCGAGGTTGCCTGGTGACAGAAGCCAAAACTCGGGAAGAGGTACAAGCAAGCAGGCCTGTGATGGATAAGGACCAAAAGACTCAGGGCCCCTCCCAGGCCAATGAGACCAGACTGGGAGTCTGCGAGCCTTTTTTTTTGTTAAATGAAAAGATAAAACAAAATTTCATAACAAAACAATTGCAGAATATCATAATCCTAAAAGAATGGCCAAAGTATTACTCAGAGCAGAAGTCGTAGACTAAAAACAACTTTTGGGTTTTTTCTTTTTTCTTATTTTTTTGTTTTGGTTTTTTGAGACAAAATCTTGTTGTGTAGTCCAAGCTGGTCTCAAACTCACAACTACCCTACTCCCTCAGCCTCCCCAGTGCTGGGATTAAAGGTGTGTGGCATCACACCCAGCAAAAAAGATTTACAAAGAAACAAACAGGATTGGGCGGGCATGGTGGTACAGGCCTGTAATCCCAACACTCACTCGGGCTGAGGCAAGAGGATCACCACGAGGGTGAGACCAGCCTGGGCTACACAGTGAGCTCAAAGCCAGTCTGAACTACAACCTGAAGTATTACATACATCAGAAAATCTGTGAGCCTTCTGTCCCCAAGAGCAGGCCTTTCCTAATCCTCAGAGGGCTTGGGGCTGCCTCTGTCTCCCTCTCTTTGTCTCATTCTCTTTTTCTGTCTCTCTCTGCCTCTGTCTGTAGCCCCTCTCTCCATCTGTCCCTCCCTCCTCCTCTCTTCCCTCCCCTTCCCCTCCCTTTCCTCTCCTCCTTCCCCTCTTTCTCCTCCTCCTTCTCCCCCCTCCTTCTCCCCCTCAGAGGAGGTGAGTGAGGGCTGGAAACCCTAACCCTCTCCAGCCCCACCCCTGGGGCTTAGAGCATCACTGAGAAGCTCACGAGGGAACAGTTGTGTGGGAAACTTAAGCACAGGCACAGTGATCTTAATAGTTCAGCAGTGACGAGGCCTTCAAAGTCACAGAGACAACTTAGAAGTGAATATTAATTTCTATCCGGTTATGGTTTCAGGGTACTGGGAGGACCAGGGTCAGGGAGAGGGCAGATACGTGGGGAGGGGTGAGGCAACAAAGGGCTGAGCCTTCCCACCAAAAGGGCTGGTGGGAAGAAGTGATATGAGATGCCCTTGAGGAGAGGATGGGCAGATAGACAGATAGATAAATAGGTGATAGATAGGTGATAGATGATAGATGGCTTTTTAATGTTAAAAGTGCTGTGTGTAAAAAGCAGTTCTGTGTGCTTCTGTGTGCAGAAGCAAACAGCAAACCCTACTGTTTATAATTTACACTGGCTGGATGTGGTGGTGCACACCCAAATCTCAGCACTCTGGGAGGCTGAGGCAGGAGGATCATAAGTTCAAATCTAACCTGGGCAATTTAACAACTTAGCAAGTCTCTAAATAAAAGATAGTAAAAGTCTCAGAAAACCTTGGGTCCAATCCTCAGTGTCACTGGAAGAAGGGGGGGGGTTAAAAATAAAGCAGAGTGTGGCAGTGCACGCCTGTAATTCCAGCACTGAGAAGGCTGAGGCAGGAGGATCGCTGGGAGTTCGAGGCCAACCTGAGCTGCATAGTGAGACGCTCTATCAAAACAAAACAAAACAGACATATATATCTCCACATTGAACTACCTTATTCTTTAATTCAGATGCACAAAACTTGGATTCTGAAAAAATAAAAACTTTACTAACGGGATTTCTGTGCTAGGCTCCTGCTGTGATATCTGCCCAGGTCAGGCCTCAAGGACCTGCTCACCCTGGGACTTTACCACCCCTGTCTCTCCAAAGGCACCTCCTTTGGTCCTTTTGTGCCCTACATGAGGGCAGTTTGACTATGAGGCCTGTGCTCTGCCCTAGAGGAGCACTTGCCAGTGACCACTGACACCACCCCCAGAGATCTCAAATCCCAGGCTGCCATCTGTGGAACACAACACACCACCTCGGAGGGGCTGGAAATAATGATCATTTGTTATTTTTCATGAAACGGAGGAACTTGGCTGATCTAGGCTGAGCCCCACTGACCCGGCTGGGCTCTGCTCCCCCAGGCCGGCTGCTCATGCCAGCAGGGCCCCGGCCACTCCAGCTTGGCACCTCTGGGTGCCTCAGCCCCAGACAGGGCATCCTCAGCTCTTCTCCCAGCAGCCATGGTGAGTTCCAGCAAAGGGAGCAAAGGCATCAAGGCCCCTGAGGTCCTCGACTCAGAGCAGTGACACCACCACCTCCCTTCCATGGGGCCCAAGAGCGGGAATCCACTGCAGACGTCCTAGGAGGGAGACGCACAGTATCATTGTGAAGGGTAGCATTGCATGTGCATGAAGAATTGGGCCATGTCTGCAACCGATCCATTCCACCTCCCCAAAACATTCTTCTCCCCTGAGAGGCCAGGCCTAAGAGTTCCAGGAGACCCAGTACTGCGTCACCTGCCAACCTGACTACTTAGCTGTAAATAGGACAGGACCGTAAAGGCCTCCGGGCCCTGCACATAAGCCACATCCTAGAGGCAGAGAACGAGGATCTTGCAGAGAAAGACCAGGCTGGCTGAGACCGCAGGGCCGCCAGGCGCCCAGCCCCACCTCCTCCTGCAAATCAAACCACATTCCCTGAAGGCTGTGGGAGGCACAAAGAGCTGTCACAAGAAGTGAGTCACATTTGTCCAAGTCAGGGAGGAGGTGGGAGAAAAACAGGACTGAGTTTAGGCCATAGACAAAGGGGGAGACAATCAAGAGCAGACACAGGAGCTATTCATTCTGGTCAGCTTCATAGGCTCAGGATCAATATTTCTGAGTAATTTT